ATTTTTCTGTACAATTATTTATCATTGGAATCAAAAACATTGAATCAACAGTGTCAAAACGCTACAAAAGAATATTTGGCATAAAAATAATGACATTAAAGAATGTAAATTTTCGTCAAAAATGTGTCGATGTGCAGACGTCAGATAAAAATATTAAAAACGTGCCCGACAATATCGGAATAAGCGAAAATATATCACGCATAAAGATTCGAATCTTTCTTAAAGCCGAAACTTAAGAGATACCATCAGCTTCCAAAAAACTACCTTGTGTAAAATTAGATGTAGTAGGTACATATTCAGATTTTCTGCCGATAAAACTATTCTCGACATCTTAATTTTATTCTGTTTTCATAATCCATATTTCATATATTTTCCCCGATAATAGGAGAAAATAAAATCCTTTTTGTCAATAGCCATCTGCTCTATAAGTGCACCAAAAGAGTTGCCAATTATCTAACCTGCCTAAGTTTTGGACAATAGACATCTACATCTGTATTTTCGGTGGATTGTATCGAATTTCTGATTTGCGAACGGCCGTTTTACCCTTTTTACCCCAAAACAGCTGAAGGGAGGTCGAATTCAACCAACTGAACAAAACATGACATTACAAAATGTAACACAAATAATCGACAAAATGAAATTTTTTGTTTGTTTTTTCCACATGCAAACATTAACATTATGGTAACGATAAATTATTTAAAGGTTATATAAGAGTTGTCAAATTATATAAGAGTTTAACAAGGTTTTATAAAAATCGCCATTTAGTTTACTAGTTTTATAATCATATAAGGTTACTGTAAACTCTGGATATATAATTAGTCTGGCCATGCAATGGCACATTAATGGGCCATTGCATTATGCAATGGCCCAGTAATGTGCCGTTGCATGGCCGGACTAGTGTGTTTGCTGGGTATATAATTGTTTCTACAAACATTTTATATAACCTTTGGTAACCGTTACCAGTATATTTATAAAGGAGTTTTATAAAGTTTTTGAAATTTTCTTAAACTCCCAAATAAGCTCTTTAAGGGGTATATAAGAGTGATATAAATATTTCTGTAACCAAATTAAATTAAATTGTTCAATAATGCCAATATATATATTTCGTTTTTCTGCATTTTTTTTAAATTACCGAAAATATATCATGGTTGTTACTTCTGAAATTTTGTGAAAAAATTCGAGTACCAGTAGTTGAACTACCTTTTTACCTGATTTAAATATAGGAAGCTTCCTTATGGAATTCAATACGTTATTTTTAACAATAGCCTAAAAAATTGTTCGACTATATGGGCTATACCGTAAGACGCCGTTAATCCCTTGCCGGAGAGGTACTTTACCGAACATGAATGGACACATCGACCACTGAAGTAGCTGATGACCATTTTTGCGAACACATTGAAAAAAAAAAAGGTTTTTCTCTATATTATATATACGTTTTTCTTGAACGGTACTGGTTACCCAGAAAGCTTTTGTTAGAAGGGATAAATACTTTTTGAATATTTTTTATAAAATGCCTACAATAGTCTTAGTTGAAGTGTGAGATTCCAAGAAAAAATTGGTTTTAGTAAACATATTTTCATAGTTCCATTATTTACATATTTTGCAAAAACATTCTGCCACTCTAGCTTATACAGATTAAGGTTAAAAATTATAAAAGGAGTAGGTACCTACTATAAACTAAAAACAAAAATTTTTGTTATCGAAATATTTTAAAATAAATACCATAAAATAAAAACACATTGTATATACAATTAACGAAATAAAAAACCCACAAAAAACTGTAAGTAACCGCCATTATATTGCAATTAACCACTTAAGTAACTGTAAATGTAAAAAACTGTGTAATATATACATATATGTTTGGGCAAAAAGTTCCCCCTATCGATATTTTGTAGTATTTATTGTATGGACCCTCGCTATTTTCTATTATGTAAATTAGGGGAAGTTTTTTCCCCCTGCGATTTTTATGTAAAATGGAGCCAAAAAATGCAGCACACTTTTGGCACGAACCATTCGTTTTTAGTTTTTATATTATTATACATACAACTACATACATTTTAGATTTTATAACATGCAGAACTTTTTATAAGGAATAACTTTTCTTCGTAGAAAGTTTCCCATATGTTGCCAACTTATGTAGACACACTGTATATTATCAACACGTAGTAATTTGGGCGAAAAATTGAGTTAATATTCATTGATACTTTTTTTAAGTAATTAAAACTGTGTGTTTACAAATATGTATTTTTTTATTTGAAAAACCTGTCAAAATGAAAAAATCGTTCGCAAGTTTCATTTTAAGTTAAAATAACTACATATTTACTTATAAGTTATTTTACAGTAAATAAAAATACGAAAAATTACCAAATATTTTTACTAAAAAAAATCCAAGCAGCATTTTAAGTAGGTAAATATTTTGTTAAATTAACCTTAAAAATTTACTTTAAGGTAAAGTTTTATTTATGTTATTTTTACCTAGTTTAATAACCCTTAAGTTTCAACACTTTAAAGTATTATAAGGAACGTAATTTTTACGATAGAAAATTACTTATAAGTGTATTTCACCTAAAGGAAAATTTAACGGTAATTTTTAACGTCAGAATTTTTACTTAATTTTACGATATTAAGACCACTTTATAACCGTAAATAATTCATATTCGCCTGGTATTTTTTAGGGTTATTAGTGGTAATAAATACTATTAATATTGACTAAACAAGGAAAAATAAAACATTAAGGGAAAATTTTTTTCAGGTCGCCATAATAAGTTTTTTTAAGATGGCATCCATTACTTATCTAATCATTTATATAATATTTTTTTATAAAGATTTTTCTAAAATATAATAAGGAAAGTTTTAGTTATTAAAAAATGATTAAAACTAAATGAATTTTAAAAGATTTTAGAAAATTTTGTAGGTTTTAGGTTTTGTTGAATTTTTACCCAAGCAATAATTTTTCTTAAAACCGTAAAATATTTAGATGGCTTATAATTTTTAAGATGTATCGTGCCTATTTTTATCAATAAAATAATGTGCGTTTGAGTTTTAATGCAAAATATTATTAGTTTTGACAATTTAAGTTAATTTTTTAAATTTTACTCTAGGGTGGCCTTTATTACGTTGAAAGTACCATTTTGTAAATTATAAATTAAAAGAAGAAAGAAATTACGAATGTCAATGTTTTAGAAAGAGAGAGCAAACAGTTAGTAATTATAGCGTTATTTTTACGTAAATTTGTGGTATTTATATTGTTAGTAGATTAAAAAGGTAAAATAACGAAATAAACCATTCCCCAAATTTTGTAAATTTTTCGTATCTATACCGTTATAAAACCGTATAATAAAATAAAACATTATGAAGAAAAAATTAGTATTATAACTATTACTATTGTTATTTTAAATTTTTTAATAAAATAACCGTTACGTCTTTAAAGATACAAGGATAATTGTCAATTTCACTGACCGTTGGTTAATTTCAATGCAGGTGACGATTAGGGGGTACTTTTATAGAAAACGGACAATATCCCAACTCTTATGAATGGACTTTAAAGTATATATACGTTACTAAGTAAGTATACCATAGGTAATAAATACTAGAACACCTCATAAAAAATTTACCGCTCAAAATTCTGTATACTAATAACACCCCTAAATTTGGAAAAAATGCATAAAAAACATGCACCTTACGTTTAAGGTGCATTCACTTGTTTAGGCATTCGTATAAAAAACCTCACAAAAAAGCCACTTAAAAAACATTTTTTCACACACACACGCAAGTTCAAAGTTCCCCTTGCTATTTTATTTATTTTTTGTAAATCTACACCCCTATTGAAGCGTGTTACACCCTGATTTTTTACCATCCCGTTTTTTCCCCCATTTCTATTCCGTGTGCCTGGCACACGAACTTCCGTTTTTATGGAATTTTTATTTTCGGAGGGTGAATTTTTGTCGCTTAGGGGAGATTTTTATACACAAAATCTCTCTCGCAAAAATGAGAAAATAAAATGGCTGCATTGTCATCAGCACACGTCTGCCTTTAAATTTATTCATTAAAAAACATTGCGGGGTAAAAATCTTGTGAGAAAATACTAGGGGTTAAAAAAGGTGATTTTTTTCGTGAGAAATGTAAATTTAAATGTAAAAACTAAGTAGGCTATGCCCAGCTGTCAAAAATAACACAATGTCAAAGATTACCTCTAAACGTCAGATAATATTTATTTATTTATTTGAACTACTAAAATTAATGCAAATCCACTAATACCAAACCAAAATTGTTTATTTTGATGTAAAAAAACCTATTAAACTCATTTATTTAAATAATTTAACATAAGAGATTGTTTCTGAGAAAAAAAAACATTAAAAAAGTAGTCGACTTCTAAACGTCAAAGGTTGCTTTTTCTTAACTGAAAAAATCTTGTAAATGTGAATATTGTTATACGCTTGAAAAAAAACTCATTTTTCATTCTCTTGACACCGTTGTTTGCAAAATTCGCCATTAAAACATCGTTTTTTAAGAAAACCTCCTCATTCAAAAATTTTACGCAAGTCACTTCTCGAGGACTGCACATAAAAAAATCGGACACACGTGTGTGATATAAGCGCCTTTTCATTACGCTTTAAAAGTGTAACTTCACACAAAAAGCCAAACTTTACGACAGTCCGTCTTAAAAAATGACTGATGATCTGAAAGGGATCTTTGGAAATTATGAAAAAACATCTGTTCTATATTGCCACATAATAAACGTATTTTATATTTTACTGTATCAACGCATTACTTATATTTTTAATAATAATAATATTACAATTATTTGCTAAAACATGCTTATTCTTGTTTTAAAACGATTTTTACAAAATAAACCCCACTTCCATCTATGAACAACCACTCAAACTAATTCATACACCTATCGGAACAAATCTGTAATAATTTACCATCCGCTAACTTCACAGCGCTCGAAATCCATACAGTTGGCAACATTGATTGGACGTTTTTCCAACCTAAACCTGTTTTTTCTTCCGTTGGCAACATTCTAGTTGACGTTTGCCTAACCTAAAACGGTATTTTATGCGACTTTCTCTAAAAAACGGCAATTAACGATAAACCATGTCAAAAGACAGTCATATAGATCGCGACTTGGATTTATCCAACGCGAATCGCGGCGTATGGCTTGTTAAAGTGCCTAAATATGTCGCTAATCGTTGGGAAAAGTCTCCTAGTGATATGGAGGTTGGAAAACTACGTATTGCAAAGTGAGTATTGATATTTTCTCCCAATTGTTAATATTTTTGTGATGTAATGCTAAATTTAGGCCTCAGGGACAAAAAGCACAGGTTTCGCTGACCTTATCAGCAGCAATCTTGAATTTAAGCGAACCTGGCCAAGAAAATATTCCCAAGGATCATAGATTGGATGTTTCTACTGTTACTCAGCAGACTTTAGGGGTTTTTTCGCACGTTATACGTAATAATATTTCCAGACAATCATAATTTTTATTAATCAATATTATTTAGCTGCTAATAATGATGCTGTGGTGCCTGAAAGTGAAAAATTGTATATGGAAGGTAAAATTGTACAGAAATTGGAATGTAGACCGTATGCTGATACCACATACATGAAATTAAAGTTAGAGTCCATACGTAAAGCTTCTCTACCAAACAGAAAAGTTAAACAATTGGACAGAGTTGTGCAATCTTATAAACCAGTTTCTGACCACAAAAACAATGTAAGAAATTAATTTAATCAATTTTTCTATAAAAAACTACTGTAATATATTTTTTTTAGATTGAATACATGGAACGTAAAAAGGCTGAAGGCAAAAAAGCTCGTGACGATAAGGATTCAGTCCTCGAAATGCTTTTTGCAGCTTTTGAAAAACATCAGTATTACAACATTAAAGATCTAGTTAAAATAACCAAACAACCTATAACCTATTTAAAGGAAATTCTCAAGGAAGTTTGCAATTATAACCTAAAAAACCCGCACAAAAATATGTGGGAACTTAAACCTGAATACAGGCATTACAAAAAAGATGAGGAGACTGAAACCAAGAAGGACGAAGATTCTGATGACGATTAAATTGTTATATTACATTGTTTTACCAATAAACTATTTTTTTTTTATATTTGTGTTCCTCACGTTGATTTTATTTATTCGTAATTTGAGGGTTTAGTTGGAAAATTCTGGGGACCCTAAATTTATAGTTGGCTACATTGAGTAAAACAAACTGGTTTAGTGGAGAATATAATTGTGGTTATGTTATATTTATAATTTTAAAATGTCAAAGATAACTTAAAAAATGCAATAACTTTACCTTTCATGAAATATAGGTGACTTTACGCCCCAAATACACATGTATGTTTTAAACATTGACAGTTAAATGTCAAAGTATATAAAATTAAGGGCATGAAGCCTACATGATTTAAAATACTAACAATACCAACATAATAAAATTTACAGTAATAAAAAAACAACCTTTACCCACTTGCAGTGTTGCCAATGGTGTTTACATAATTTACACACAGATTCTGTCAAAATTCCACAATTTTGCCAACTATACCACACATTTGGGATTTTGGTTTTGTTAGGTTTCTTTGGTGATTACCGCAGAAAGAGTTTCTGTGGTGAATCACCACAAAAACTCTTTCTGCGGTAATTACTGGTGATTACTTAAAGACGTTTTCAAAAACTTACTAGATTACTTACTTTGTCAAAAAGTCTATTGTTATAACTGGTTTTAAGTTACTCGATAACTTACGCTTGCAAGTTTCCAAAAACACCAGATTTTTTTTTATTTGCTGTATATATAGAAATCTGCACAGAAATTCGTCCATATAACTAAATAACTAAAATTCGCATTTGCAAATATATCCATTTAAATGCTTGTTATAAGCATTGTTAATTTAAAGATAAAGTTTACACGCAAATTCCACACATTTATGTATTACACACAAATTACACACAACAAAATAAATTCCACACAATGCGTGGATTTCCACGTACATTGGCAACACTGCCCACTTGATCCCATAAAGACGAAGAAGAAGACATAGTAAACATAACCCCACATTTTCAAAATGTCAAAACTTCATTAAAAATGCTGAAGAAAAGGCGTAAACCATGAGAAAATTCACCGGTTTTCGTAATTTTAAGATCTACCTAATAGGAATTTTCTCTTTTTTGCTGGGTTGCATGATAACTATAAACTTAACCCCCATAGACAAAACATGTAGGATTGAAAATACTGATCGTGAACATAACATGATGAAAAACTCGAAATTAAAGGACCCCGAGCTTGTTGTAGTGATTCTTTCAGCGCCTAAAAGCGCTAAGAGACGTTTAGTTTTAAGGGAAACTTGGTTGAATTTAAGGAGCAGTCAAAATGTTGATTTTAAGATCAAACACTTTTTTGCAGTTGGTGATTTAGGTATTCCATCAATAATTATGTTTTTTTTGTAAGGTTAACGAATTTTGTTGTAGGTTTAAGTAAGAGTGCTAAAAAGGATCTCATAAAAGAACAAAAGAAATATAATGATGTTTTGATATTGCCTTTGTACGATAGCTACAGTAATTTAACAGAAAAAGTTGCAAAAACGTTTCACTGGCTCAACGATCAATATGACTACGGTTTGGCGTATAAATTCGTGTTAAAATGCGATGACGATTCGTTTGTAAGACTGGACACGCTCTCCGATGAGATTATTAACGTTGAAAATACATATCTTAAGTTGAAAGAGTTAAATGGCGTTTCTGATTACATCAGGGTTAATTTGCAGAGTAATACTTTTGATAAGAATAGTAATTTGTCCTTGTACTGGGGGTATTTTAATGGAAACGCTAAAATAAAATCAACAGGGAAGTGGAAGGAAAATAACTGGATTTTTTGTGATAGATATCTGCCATACGCAGTGGGTGGGGGATACGTTTTATCCAAGGATTTAATTACCTATGTTGCCAAAAATATTGAATACCTAAGGTAAGTATTTCTAGTATAAACAATAACACTAAGTTTAACAAGGTTGGCAACACTGTGTGTCTAACAAGTTGAAATAAGAATTTTTTTTCAGTATTTTTATATACATGTAATAGTTTAAATGACTTGTTAAAATTACATATTTAAGGATGTTAAAAAAACATTTATAGTATATATATTATAATAATATATTATGCAACTAGTTTTATTAACATCATTTAATACGTGCGTTTATTTGACATTTTATCTGACAACTGTCAAGCGGTTTTAACCTCACTTTTTTTCAATCTAACATCTGTCAAACGGTTTTAACCTCACTTTCGACAAAAAAGCATTTATTCTAGATTTTATAATAGACCTATCCCATAAAACAGACTTTTGGATAGCGCGTGCCTGAAGAAGAGTGGTATCTCTTTCTCTTTTATGTAATTAAAAAAAGACGACGTGCCTTTTCACGCACGCGCTATCCAAAAGTCCGTTTTATGGGATAGGTCTATTCTGAAGACATTAGTGACATTTTATCTGACAACTGTTAAGCGGTTTTAACCTCACTTTTTACCAATCTGACATCTGACAAACGGTTTTAACCTCACTTTCTACTAAAAAGCATTTTTTCTAGATTTTATAATCCTGAAGACATTAGTGACATTTTATCTGACAACTGTGAAGCGGTTTTAACCTCACTTTCGACTAAAAAGCATTTTTTCTAGATTTCATAATTCTGAAGACAGTGACATTTTATCTGACAACTGTTAAGCGGTTTTAACCTCACTTTTTACCCATTTGTCATCTGTCAAACGGTTTTAACCTCACTTTCGACTAAAAAAGCATTTTTTCCAGATTTTATAATTCTGAAGACATTAGTGTTGGATTGTGGTTTTCTTCAATAAATAATATCCTTAGAATTCACGATGTAAGGTTCGATACTGAATGGGCGTCAAGGGGTTGCCTAAATCAACACATTGTCACCCACAACATATCCGAGAGAGACATGAAGATGATGTACGAAACCATCATAAACGAGAACCAGATGTGTTCTAGCGATAGCCCCAAAAGGAATTCGTATTTCTATAATTGGACTGCACCTCCTAGTCAGTGCTGTACAAAGTTAGTTTAAGATTTAACTTATTGTTCTGAATAATTAAGATTTACGCGTTTTTTTGTTAAAAAATACTTTATTATTATGTAATTAATAAATACATTACTTAAATAACTAATGTGTTAATGCACATCTCACAATCAGTCAAAGAAAATCTTATGTAACAAATCTTGAAAAATAATCACAATAACTAGTCAATTAAATGAACATTTGTACTCGAAGCTTGTCTATTTTATACAAGGCAAGATATACATAAATATACAAAACAACCAAATTTAAATCACCATGGTATTATCATTGTCCCAATGTGACTTCCTTTTATTAACTCTGGGCTTTAAATCCATATTCATTGGCGGAGTATTTTCACATTGCACCTGCATTTTTTTACCCTTTTCCTTAAAAACGGGAATTTTGCTGACAGCATATTCAGACTTCTTATTATGACCATCAGACTTCCTTGGTTTATCACTGACCTTCAATTTTGGCACATTCCTGATCTCCCCTGTAGAATTTCTATTTCCCAGCGGCGTGCGGTTATTTTCCCGCAATTTTACCACCCTGGGGAGTACCACAAGGTCCTTGTCTTCATAGATCAGGTGGGTAAGTTTTTTGTCGAACTCGCGAACGTTTTGTGTTACGTTTGCTATTGGTGTTATTTGTAGTTCAGGTATTTTAGTTTTTAGCGAGTTTTCTATGGTTTTAATGCTTTCTGGCAAGGGGTACTCCTGTTCGATTTCTTCCTGTATTTTTTTGATTTCTTCTACAAGAGATGGTGTTATTTCTGCTTCAGTTTCTTCAACAATTTCTTCATTATTTGTATCTAATTTTACATTAACTTCTTCCTTTTCATCAGTTATTTCATCCAATTTTTCCAAAAACTGTTGATCTTCCAGACTTCTTTCCAGTTTTTCAATAATATGCTCATTGAAGTCTTCCTCAAGATTTCCTTCATCTACCACATCTTTTTCTTTGTTTTCATTAATAATATCATCCAACTTTTCCAAAAATTGCTCTTCAGCTCTCTTTTCTTCAATACTCTCCTTAATTTCTTCATCATTAAGCTCAATTTCCCCAATTTTCCTTGCAATTTGCAATGGTGTTCTCATAAACTCAGCTGTGGGAGATCTAGGGTCCATATTATCATTTTTAACAATATCCACCCTGTGCAAAACATCTTTCTTCTTTTGTTGCATAACAAAATCCAAATCGGTCTCCATAAAGTCGACATTTGTTTCCAAAATACCCACCAATGACTTTCTCTTGTTTGCTTCAGGTTTTGTTGTTATGGGGCTGCTTTCCAACAATCTAGGCGCCACAACATTCTTTGAAGGGTTCAATAAATTCCTCCTCTGCACTTTCCTGAGTAAATCTTCATCAGTAGCTTTTACCACGATTGGGGTCCTTGTAAATTCCACTGCTGGCGATCTGGGGTCCATCCCCAACGTAACTTTATCTGGACTAGCATTTTCTTCATCCAGCAAAACTTGTATGGGGGTTCTACAAATATTCGCCGTAGGAGATCGGGGATCAAACCCGTTAACATCGATGTTTTTCACGTTTTTAGGCGTTAAAATCGGCGTCGAAGGCACGCTGCCCTCCTTCACTTTACCAGGGATCTCACCGATTTTACTTCCGCTTGAACCCATGGCAAAATACACGAAATAATCACGATGATAAAGAAATTTGTGCGAACTGTTTGCGAATGCGTTTGAAATTGACAGAACAATAAAGAAAAACCGTTAAAACATTTGAATTGCAGTGTCGCCAACAGTTTATTTGCAGTGTTGCCAATGAACAAAATATAATTCTTCACTTCTTCTTCTTAATGATTGACTGATAAGTTATCAGTGATAACCCTACTTTTTTTGACAGTTGTCAGTAAACAAAATTCGCGATCAGTTCGGTTTTGGTTCTCGTGTCTGTCGGTTGCTCTATGAAAGAGTATTTGAAAAATAAGTGACTTCTCGACCCAGGAGAGGCAAAATCGGACTCCCAGTGTAAAAACAAACTGGTTTTAACCAAGAATTTGCAAAAATATATGGAAATACTTAAGAGATGGATCGGATGATTGAAGATTAAAGATAATTGGAAAATTCTGTGTATGAAGCCATGTGTACATAGTGAAGCGAAAAGATGACATGGTTCTATAAAATTTTATAAATAATTAACAATATATAAATGATTCAAGGGATGAGTTAATCTCAGATTCTTTTAAATAAGACCCTTGATCATAATAAAGAAAATTTAATAATATAATGTGCTGGCCAAATAGCTTTTAAATTAAGCTAAAGGTCATTCCTCTGAACACAGAATTGTGTTCAGAATTAAGAAGAAGAAGAAGAAGAATTCGCGATGGATATCGGCGAGTTACTGGACTATAAGGTGAGTTTACCGAATGAAACAACAACGAAATCGTTAACTGGGGTGTTTTTTAGCCGCCGCAAGCGGTGAAAAGACCCGCTGAAGGCGAGGAGGAGGACGACGAAGAAAAAACTCGTAAAATGCGTAGAATCGCCCGCGCCAAGGCGAATCGAATGGCGAGACCGAGTTCCCCTACGCCGTCGATGCAGGCTTTGGACCAAATCACCGATGAAGAGAGAGCGGAAATACTGAGATTCGTGGAGACTGAACAAACGCAAGGAGAGGTTGTTGACGAGCAGGGCATTAAAAAGATCGTTTTGAATTTTGAGAAGAGGTGCTTGAAGAATAGGGAGATGAGGATTAAGTTCCCGGATTCTCCGGAGAAATTTATGGAGAGTGAAGTGGAACTACATGAAACACTGCAGGAGATGAGGGTTTTGGCGACAGCGCCCGATTATTACCCTCTGTTGGTTAAACTGCAGGTGATTCCGAGTCTTTTGGAGCTGCTATCACACGATAACACTGATGTGGCGGTAGCTACGGTGGAGTTACTGCAGGAATTAACCGATGTGGACATTCTGAATGAATCTGAAGAAGGGGCTGATGCTTTGATAGAAGCTCTATTGGAACACCAAGTTGTAGCACTACTGGTGCAGAATTTGGACAGACTGGATGAAACAGTGAAGGAAGAATCTGATGGGGTACACAACACTTTATCGATAATCGAGAATTTGATTGAATTGAGGAGTGAGATCACCAATGAGGCGGCTAAACAAGGTTTATTGGCTTGGATATTGAAAAGGATGAAGGTTAAGAGTCCTTTTGATGGCAATAAGTTGTACGCGAGTGAGATGTTGTCGATTTTGCTGCAGGATAATGAGAAAACCAGGGTTTCTCTTGGGGAATTGGATGGTATTGATGCATTGTTGCAACAGTTGGCCTTCTATAAGAGACACGACCCAAACAGTGCCGAAGAGCATGAATTTATGGAGAACTTGTTTAATTCTTTGTGTAGTTCTTTGATGTCGGTGCCCAATAGGGATAAGTTTTTGAAGGGGGAGGGGTTACAGTTGATGAACTTGATGCTGAGAGAGAAGAAGACGTCGAGGAATGGTTCTCTGAAAGTTGTGGACTACGCTATGTCGGGCCCGCATGGTAAAGACAACTGCAACAAGTTTGTGGACATTCTAGGGTTGAGAACCATATTCCCGCTCTTCATGAAAACGCCGAAGAAGAACCGGAAGAAGGTCCTGTCCACGGAAGAGCACGAGGAGCACGTTTGCTCGATAATAGCGTCGATGCTGAGGAATTGCAGGGGGTCGCAAAGGCAACGGTTGGTGAGCAAATTCACGGAAAACGACCACGAAAAAGTGGATAGATTGTTGGAGCTGCACTTCAAGTATCTGGAGAAAGTTGAGTCTGTCGATGACGGCATAGACGAGAATGAAGAGCACGATGAGGACGCGGCGTATTTAAAACGGCTGGAAGGCGGACTTTTCACTCTACAACTCGTTGATTACATCATCGTGGAGGTTTGTTCGGCCGGGGCTCCGAGTATCAAACAGCGAGTGATGCAGAGTTTAAACTTGAGAGGGGCTTCATTAAAGACAATTAAACATATTATGCGGGAGTATGCCGGCAATTTGGGCGAAGAAGGGGACAAGGAATGGCGGGACCAAGAACAGCAGCACATTCTTAATTTGGTCGATAAGTTTTGAGTTCAATAAATTTGTGTTGAGTTTTTTGTATTTTTATTGGAATAACATGTTTGTATTAACCAATATACTAATATTTATAATGTATATGTTTCAGTAGACTACAATACTATACAATAACAATTCATGTACATAGGTGTATAACAAATGGGGTAAAAATCTATATTACTTTAATTTAAGTTTATTAACAAAAAGTTTTACTTAAATTTATGTTAAGGTACAAAATAATCAGTCTTGAGGAGATTTTAAGAAGAATAACTTAAATTAAAAAATTACTCATCAAAAAATTATCTGGTAATACATATTATTTTATATTGAACAAAACCAATTATTAAGTTATCTTGGGCACAATTCTGCGCGCGCTTTATACGTCCGACGTACACTCCCAATTATTTAAGTTAAACCTTCTAAATTTATATATTTTATATTTTATATTTTTTATTAAATATTTTATGAAATATTATTTATAAGCAAAAAAATATATAAAACAAAAAATTACTTTTTAATATATTTTCCCATGTAACAACTATTGATTGTTTAAACTGGTTTTATCATATTTATAAAACTAAATTTTATTGTCAAATAATACTAAAAGTACGTTTAAAATAATTTCAATGGAGGGAGTCATTAGGTTGCAAATAATTATTATTCAAATACTACCAAAATGTCATTAAAAATATTCTTTTGTTTACAATTTTTTGTTGTTAACGTAACATGTGGTTTATATTATTTTGTACTGCCATAATTGAGGTTATGTTCATACGTCAGTTAAACGCTAATTTCGTCTTTTGTATACACGCATAATACAATATATGTAAATTGTTGTCGGAAGGTCTTAATTTATAAAACAAAAAAAAATATATATTTAAAAAAATTAGTGTTAAACTGCCAGATACATAACCTCAATCATTTGACTGCATTCCTTATTAAAATGTCAGTGGGACTACGCAAGTTCGGCAGGATATGACGTCATTGTGGGTCAATTGTTGTCAGTTAATTTGACAGTAATAAAAACCATCTTTTTCTTAAATCTTTGAGATAAAAAGTTTAAAAAGCCGTACCATTTGCATAAAGTTAATTTGACAATTAAATGGAGTATTTTGAGAAAGAAAAAAATTTAAAAAAATATTTTTGTAGTTAAATTCTATTCCAAAAATTAAGGGGATCTGTAAATAGTGGTCAGGGGGTTTTAGGTGCAGGGTTACATAATCAACTTTATTAATAATTTTTGTTTAATATGAAATATGTAGCAACAATGGATTGAGATGACGTCATAACCGGCCGGACTTTCTGTGACCATAATACATATATATGTACAGGGTGTTATATAATTAATGTAATATATTGCAATACTGAATACCTTTTGAAATAAGGTATAACGGAAAAATATTTTCCCAAAGATAAAGAAAATTTTAAAGAATTTTTTTTATATTTTTTGTGATACGCCACTGGTTACACACTTGTGTTCTGTGAGTACATAGATACCATTTTTGTTATTAATCTAAATTTAAACCAAATCTGGCAACTTTTTTTGACAGAATCTGAAAACGCTGCTTGTTGCCAACCATAACATAATAAATTAAATTAGACAACCAGATTAGCCTAAAGTCGATCAGTGGCGTACTTTTTGGTAGGATAAAGGTTTTGTCTTTAAAATTTAGAAAAAAAGTTTTAAGTGCTTCTTTATGGATCCTAGCTAGGTCCTAGCTAGGGAACGACCCATTTTAATATATTACATTAATTAAATAACATCCTGTACATATTTATTTACATATATTTTTTGGTATAAAGGGTGTCCCAAAATATTTAAAAAATGTAAGTGTCTCTATAAAAAATATATATTTTACAACTTTTTCTAACATGACTAAAATTTGTTTTAAATTGAATCGGTACAAGTCCAAAAATTTAATTTTGAGAAGACATTTTGAAGTTTAAAGTACATTTTTGTGGGATGGATAAAAGAATATATAAAATAGTTCAAATATTCTCACAAAAATGCATTTAAAAATATAAAACTGATTTTTTGAAATATTGTCAAAATTTTGACTTTGGACTTTTACTGTTTTTAAATCTTACACAAAAAATAATAACAAAAATAACCATGGCTTAATAACTAATACTTAATACTTAAAATAAACAAGTTATGTATATTATTTACAATTGTAAACATGTTAAGATATTGTTTACTGTAGGTAATACTAAAAAAACAAAACAAAAACATCACAAAAACAAAAAAATTAAGCACAAGTACACTAAAACGTCATTTCAACATTCTTTACAACATTACTAAAATCAACCTTTGATGGGGTCAAGTAAAACGCAGGCGCAACTTTGACCCCACAAGGACACTGGCAGCCCATGATCCAACTGTACGACCCCAATTTAGCTTGACATTTAGGACAGCACAATTTACCTTGAACGCTGTGCGTTACGTTCATCCAGGCTATGGGCTCGATGAAATACGTTTTAGTGCAAATTTTCCCCTTGTTTTTGTGCGTCAAAAGGTTATTCTCCGAAGCTACTACTCGTCTGCATTTTTTGCATCTGTACACGTTGGGGTTTGGTTCGGTTTGAGTTCGCCCTGGGTCTGGTTTAATCAAGTCAAAAAAATTCGGCGGGAGTACTTTAACTTTCCTTACCGTGTCCGCGGCGTTCCCCAAGCGGAACATCTTGAATTGGGGGTTGTTTTTGTCAATGTTGTAGCCCATTTGATGGTAGAGTTTTAGCTGGGCTACGAAACCGTAATTTGGGTGCACTATAGAGCGCCTTTTCTTAACTTTTTCTAGGGCTTCGGCGAAGCCCAACTTGTATTTTTTCATGTAGTATGCTAGTACCACAGTGGCACTTCTTGAAACTCCAAAATAACAATGTACGAAAACATGCCCTATAATATGTTACACATAAATATATATTTAAATAATTTAATTCACCCACCTTCTTTAATACCCTCGTCAATAAAGTTGTATGTATCCTCAAAATAACTTAAAAGATCCTCTTTAGGTTGATCGGCAAGCTGTATGAACTTTACAGTAACCCCAGGTAATTCCAGTATATTCCTTGGTAATGGAACTGTGTCGATAGTCAATATATGCGTTATTTTGTACTTTACCAATGTTGGTATATGCTTGGCAGCTGCTAAACTCCCTAAATACAGCCCATGTTCAATCCAATCAATACTAATTGGACCCAAAGAGAAATCTTCTCTATGCAAAAAACCACTCATTTTGTGTTTGTGTATGGAATGCGGCGCAGTTATTTTGGATTTTATCCAACAACTTACAAAGTATTGCACAGTATTTCAAATTATCAGTTCAATATTGATTTTTTATACTATTAATAATTACCTAAACCACACCTTTATGAAGGCGTAGGGATTTTCGGGAAAGATTAGATTACAAAACGAATATCGAACGTGTTATTCAAAAAATGTTCACTAAATTTCAAAATATTTACTGATTAGTAGTTCAAATAAACCAACTTGTTTGATGTCAAAAACCTTTTTCTAGTGATGCCAATAAGGTCGTTTTAAAAATCCCTAAATTTGGTTAAAAAAACCTATATTTTTAACAGTACAAGAGATATATAAATAAAACAAGTTATTTAAACAAGCAGTTTTTGTTAAATTATATTTGACGAAAAAATCACTAAGTTGGCAACATTGAGCAATACGCCAGCTAGTGAAAAAGATAATTGGTGATTTAGCGTTGTTCGGTTGGCTTCCCGTACGTCAAATGTAAATAAAACATGGCTCCTAGGCGAGGTAGAAATACGAAAACGATAAACAATCCGAATTACAGTAATTTAAGCATCGACGATGTTCTATGTCCGATTTGCCGGAGCGTTTTGACGCAGCCCGTGACTTTGCCTTGCAACCATGGCTTTTGCTTCGCGTGTTTCGAAGGTACGATGCAAAATGCTAACTTGGCCTGTCCGCTGTGCAGGGTGAGAATCGGGTCCTGGTACCGGATTGCCAAGAAGGAGAAGAGGCTGGTCAATCAACGGTTGTGGGAGATTTTGAGGGAGAAGTTCCCCAAACAGCTGGAAAACAAGCTGAAGGGCATTGATGAGCAGACAGTTGAAGGTTTGTATTTGTTTACATGGGCATCTTTCATGGGAAAATTTTCATCATCGTTCCCCTGTCACATAACAAAAAACAAAATATTTAAACTGCCCATAAAATAATTGGTTTTTATTGACCATTAAAATTTTTTGCTGATAGTCTTGAAATATAAATATTAAGTTACCTACTAAAATTAATAAAAAAAAAGTTAAAATGTACAATAGTAATAGGAACAGTTATAAATATTTTGGACAGTTTTTAGGACCATTTTTAGTCCTAACATTTATATGATTCTTTTTAGAAGTGAAGATACCAATAGCAACACCAGGTGAGATTAGAAGGGAATATGAGTTACAAAAACGGAAAGAAGATGAGGAATTAAAGCAAGAAAGAGAAAAAGAACAAATTGCCAGTGAGGCTCTTATAGAAAAACTTAAAAGGGAAGAGAAAGAGTACCTAGAAGCAGTAAAGGAAGAGGAATTGAAAAAGATAAAATTGGATGCCCAAGTAGCAAAAAAGTTGTCGCAGGAATTCCAAAAAACTCCTGTCCGCAAGACGACTCTCGACCACTTTTTCAACAACAAAGATTCCAATAAAAAGATGACCCCCAAAATGCAGAATTTCGCCACTAAAGAGTACACATGCAGGGTTTTATGCTTAGATGTCAATTCAAGTCAGCCTTCCACAAGTAAGGGTTATTGTGGCATGCCGGTTTATCAGAAAAAAATACAGCAGCTGCAAAAGATTGTTGTCAATGTTGATAGCAGCGATGGCAGCGACTGCATTGAACAGGAATGCCGTTATTTTAAGCCTATAGATTACAGGCACAACCCACCGTCCGCTGGAAAAGCCCCTATCAAAGTTCCTACAAGAAGGGCTACTTTATGCGATCCCAGTAAAATATTGTAAGTACATTTATTCTAAACTTTACATTCTTAAGGTGGTGATGTCCATTTAAGGATAACATTCTTAAGATGGCTTTATTTGACATTCTTAACACAGATATATCTAGCTGAAATCCTAAGGCAGTTATATCCTTTAAGGATCACATTCTTAAGACAGTTATATCTGGCCCAAATTTACATTCTTAAGACTGTTGTATCAATTTAAAAATGACATTCTTAAGACAGTTATATCTAGCTTCATCTGACATTCTTAAGACAGATATCTATAGCTTAAATTAACATTCATAAAACTGTTAAATCCATTTATGGATGACATTATTAAGTCATATCTAGTTTCATTTTACATTCTTTAGACAGATATAATAGGATAATATTCTTGAGACAATTATATCTAGCTTAAATTGACTTTCTTAAGACAGTTATATCCACTTAAGGATATTCTTAAGACAGTTATATCTAACTTTAATTGACATTTTTAAAACAGTTATATCTAGCTTCATTTGACATTCCTTAGACAGTTATATCTAGCTGAAATTAACATTCTTAAAACTGTTAAATCTATTTAAGGATGACATTTTTATATATCACATTCTTAAGACAGTTATATCTGGCTTAAATTGACATTCTTAAGACTGCTGTATCAATTTAAAAATGACATTCTTAAGACAGTTATATCTAGCTTCATTTGACATTCATAAGACTGTTAAATCAATTTATGGATGACATTCTTAAGTCATATCTAGTTTCATTTTACATTCTTTAGACAGATATAATAAGATTGAGACAATTATATCTAACTTTAATTGACATTTTTAAAACAGTTATATATCCATTTAAGGACGACATTCTTAAGAGTTATATCTAGCTTCATTTGACATTCCTTAGACAGTTATATCTAGCTGAAATTGACATCCTTAAAACTGTTAAATCTATTTAAGGATGACATTCTTAAGAGTTATATCTGCCTCAAATTGACATTCTCAAGACATTTATATCTATTTAAGGATGACATTTTTAAGACAGTTATATCTAGCTTCATTTAACATTCTTTAGACAGTTATATCCAGCTTAAATTGACATTCTTAAGACATTTACATCTATTTTTGAATGACATTTTCAAGACAGTTTTATCTAGATTATGATTTTCTTAAGGCAGTTATTTTTATTTAAGATTGACATTCTTTAAACAGATATCTATAGCTATAGCTTAAATTAACATTCTTAAGACAGTTATATCTATTTAAGGATGACATTTTAAAGACAGTTATATCAAACTTTAATTGACATTTTTAAAACAGTTTATATCCATTTAAGGACGATATTCTTAAGACAGTTATATCTAGCTTCATTTAACATTCTTTAGGCAGTTATATCTAGCTTAAATTTACATTTTTAAAACAGTAACATCTATTTATGAATGACATTTTTAAGAGTTTTTTCTGGTTTAAATTAACATTCTCAACAGATATCCATTTAAGGATGACATTCTTAAGATAGTTATATCTGCATCAAATTGGCATTCTCAAGACAGTTTTAAGGATGACATTGTTAAGACAGTTATATTGATTTTCTCAAGACTTATATCTAACTTTAATTGACATATTTAAAACATATACTATATCCATTTAAGGACGATATTCTTAAGACAGTTATATCTAGCTTCATTTAACATTCTTTTGACAGTTATCTAGCTGAAATTGACATTTTTAGACAGTTACATCTATTTATGAAGGACATTCTTAAGACGGTTTTATCTGGCTTAAATTGACATTCTCAAGGCAGTTATATCTATTTAAGGATGACATTTTTAAGACATTTAAATTAACATTCTTAAGGGCCGGTTTATCAATGTCCAGTTAAAGTTGCAGTTAGTTATCTAGTAGATAATTTCTATGGTTACCATTGTTCTTACAACAATCGATATGGAATTTAACTGTCAGATAGACTAACTGGAACTTAACTAAAGATTGATAAACCGGCCCTTAGACGAGTTATATCCACTTAAGGATGAAATTCTTGAGGCAGTTATATCTAGCTTCATTTGACATTCTTAAGACAGTTTCTATCAAGTCTAAATTAACATTCTTAAGACTGTTATATTATGACAGCAGTAGCGTAACTAGGGGGGGGGGGCGGTCCGCCCCGGGCGGCACTTCTTGGGGCGGCAAAAATCGTGAGAGAAAATGCGAAAAAAACTGGAAGACAGAATATAAAAATAAAAAAAATATTTGATAATTAAATATTCTCTTTCGAAATAATATAATTCAAATTCCAATAGATTTGAGATTTATACAATTACTCCCAAAATATTCCAAATCAAATAAAGCTAGCAAAAAATAGAAACAAGACCGGTATTCTAAATATTTAAACATTTTTATTTATTTTTTACTCAGGTTTAAGTTTTTTTGTAGGTACTTTTACATAAGGTTGAGAATTTATCTCTGTTTTTTTCATATAAATTATGTTAAAGCACATTTTATTTGTTGTTTTTCTTTACCTAGGTCTAAGAATTTTTGTTTGTTTTTAATTCTTAAAATATTACAATTTAATGTTATATATATATACACTATTGGACAAAAGTAAAGCAACAACTGTATAAAAAATCCAACTCCAAAACGCCTTTATTATTCTTTAAGAAATTTTGGATAAAAATACTTGAACTTAAATCTCAGTTTACGTGTTTAAGGGTTTTTTGAGAAAATATTTTTAAAGCCCATTTTTTTAATATTAAAAAAACGTTCGAAAAATAACTTTTACGGAAATTTTTTTTCAAGTAAATAAAAAATATTCTGTTAATGACCGTATTTTTGTTAGTATACTCTAAAAATTTTGTACAAATCAAATGAACAGTAACGAAGATACAGTGCTTCAAAGTCGGTAAAAATGACCCTTTTTGATTATTTTGCTGAAAAGTGGTCATTTTTGACGACTTTGAATCGCTGTATCTTCGTTACTGTTCATTTGATTTGTAAAAAATTTTCAGGGTATACTAACAAAAATACGGTATTTAACAGTATATTTTTTATTTACTTGAAAATAAATTTCCGTAAAAGTTATTTTTCGAAGGTTTTTTTAATATTAAAAAAATGGGCTTTAAAAATATTTTCTCAAAAAACCCTTAAACACGTAAACTGAGATTTAAGTTCAAATATTTTTATCCAAAATTTCTTAAAGAATAATAAAGGCGTTTTGGGGTTAGATTTTTTATACAGTTGTTGCTTTACTTTTGTCCAATAGTGTATATGTTATATATACATGTATAATTATATATTTTTATATATTTTTAATTTATATATATATTTTTATATATTTTTAATTTTGCGTACGGTCCTCAAAACTGACTCCTAACCTAACCTCTCTTCCCCCCCCCCCAAAAAAAACATGAGGGCGACAGCCACTGCTGCCCCGGGCGGCACTTTTTCTAGTTACGCCGCTGTATGACAGTTAAAATGAGATTTTTAAGAAGGTTATTTTATTTTTTTATCCTTAAGGCGATTATTGCAAAATACGTACTAATAGTACTTTTTTGCAGAAGGCCTTCTGGTGACATAAACTTCCAATCAAACATACTCGAATCAGCATTTGCAAGGATATCAATAGACGTTTTACCTCCACAAAACTACAAAAGTACTGAACCGACTCAAAACAAAAACAAAGCGATAATCGAAGAGACCCCCGGTAAAAGAAAAGCGGCAAATAACGCCAAAACATCGCCGTCTAAAAGGAAGAAGAGCGACGCATCGCCAGCGAAACCGAAAAGGCAAATATTTCAGGAAAATACAAGTCCCAAATTTTTCGGTTTCGATAACAGTGCCATAAAAAATAGCTTGCGGAATCGGAACTTGGACAGCGCGAAAAAAATTCAGGAGAAGGCGGACTTTGAGTTTGCCCGCAAGTTGCAACAGGAATTGAACAGGACCTCTCAGTATTCGACTAGGAGCCAGATTTCCTCTACGCGCACTCGAAGGTCCAAAAGACAAATAACTTTAGACGAGATTGTATCAAACGCTTACAAAGTTGTTTAATGGAACATAACTTTAATTATATTTACATAGATATAGTTCCATGTATTTTTGCTTTTTATTAAAAGCATACTGTATGTAATAGTATTTACAAATTTTGTGTTATGCTGCCTAAATCCAAGTTAACGAATTTTATTTTGTTTCTTGGTGCATATACTCCAATACTTGTACATTGTGTTATCTAATAACAATTTCAAATTGTGTATATAAAAATTATATATTTTTATATTATGTAGAAACTGATTTCATTGTACTTTTTTTAAGCCAAAGATGATTTCAGTCCTTGATTTTTTTCCATTTTCGCCAAAACAAAGCAAATAAATGATATTAAATGCTTTTCACAGACAATCAACTTAATTATCCATTATTATTTCAATTATGAGTGATAGCATTTGTGATTGTTGAAAAAAATTAATTTAAAAGAATTATAATGGCAAAAAAGCTTCTATCATAGTCAATTTGTTTTGTTTTATTATCTAAGAGCAGAATTTAATTTTTATTTGTAAAATGTTGCTGTGATATCAACAGCTGTTATATTTTTTAATAAAAATCCGTTTCAAAGAGTGGAATTTTTACTTCATCCATAACATTACATAAGTTTATTGTTAAATACATTTATTATTTAGATTTGCTTCATTTTTTGTCCCCTGATTTTGAAACCTAAAAAATATGTATAAGTATTAATACTCTGGTATTTTTGTGTGGAAAATTATCAATTATTTTATGAAGTTTGGAAAATGATTTCTTTTTCAAGCATTTAACAATTTTTATTAATATAAAGAGCTCTTAAAACAATGCCTTCATTATGGTACTCCATAAAAGTCAAATTATTATTCACCACCGTACAATAATGAAAATACATAGTACGAGTGGTTCCATCTATCGTATTTAGCTCGAAATCAGTGTAGGTAACTGAAATTACAGGTCACTGTAAAAGAAATTCATAGACATAACCTATAATGTCAAACGTCAACATTACCCATTGCCGAAATGTCGCAAACTCGATAATTTCAATGTAAGTACATAAAATATTAAACGCTTGAAAAAAAAATAGTATACAGAACATTACCTAATGCAAATACTAATTTTGACAGTTAAAAATTAGTCTTAAGGGTGATACTTGGAATTGGCCATAAAAAATGATCTCTAGAACGCAATAAACCAATCAGAGCGCGGTATTCTCCATCGCACCTAGTGTGCTATGGATAATTCCGTGCCCTGATTGGTTTATTGCTTTTTACAAGAACTTTAGGATGTTAGTGATTTTGAATGTTAAAGAAAATATAAATATATTTTTTACTTGGTCAGGATTAGGGTTTTTCTGGGGGATTACTGCAGGGCATGCATTCAGGAGTGACGCCTTCAAAAACATCGCAAATTACATCTCCACTAACCTCAACTTTTTCTTCCGTTTTTTCCTTATCTGAAACAAAAGAACTGGCACTTGATTTTACTGAATCCCACACCTCAGACAAACTGGAAGGCATTTTAGGTAAACTTGGCAACTCCTTTGGAGGGCTGTCCTTCTCCACTAACAAAAATAAACAATTTACAAAAATGTCAAGCAGAGTGGTCACTACTATTTTTTTATAAAAAATGAAGAAAAAGTACCTCCTAAAATAAAGTTGTAGCCTATTGTAATATATTTCCTGGCCTCAACTAAGCCGACCTGTGAGTATTCAGCAGCTTCTTTGGGGTAACATACGGCAGCCATTCCTAATCCCCCTGCAGTCATGTAAAGTGTCCTTTTGAAAAATCTACCCCTCAGCCCCATAATTAACCCTGCAAGGGCGCCTATCGCAATTGCACCAGCTCTTGGCATACTGTTGTCTTCTTTACGTAGGTAATCCACCAACCCTAAAAAATATGTAACATAACTGGGCCACAATTATAAACAAAGTTAGTACAGTCTAAATTTTCTTTGCTTTGTTCAAAATAGTTCATTCCGACCCTCTCGTACGCTGAAATCTCCATTGAAACCTTCTGTAAGGTTTGCCGTGTCGTTCTGACAACTTCCTCAATCGCTCCTGAGGCCTCGTCTGTTTGTTGCGTTTCCACTCGTTTAACTTCTGGTTCTGGTACGTAAATCGGTAATTTGCTGGGCTTGCAGATGTATGAGGGTGCCTCAGAGGTGCTGTCTTGCTCTTTTTTTACTGCAACCGCCGTTGCAGAAGGGATTAGGACCCTTCTTAAGACCTAAAATAATAATTTTACACTGTACGGTTGTCACATTGTGCGATTCGGCCACTTACTTTGCCCGCAAACATAATTATTTACTAGAAAATGCAGACAAAGTAAAAAATTATGTAAACTGACAGGTGTCAAACGTATGATGGGCAGAAAGTGGGGTTAGGTGCTTGGCACGGTATGCAACCCAGTATACATATATGTTATAAGTTGTGGGGTTGCATACGCACAACAATCAATTTTTAGAAATTACGGTTTTTGAATTGATATCAAATTTAATCTATAGATCACCGATGTAACTTAATTAATATGTTATTAAAAATTTAAGTTTTATTTATAATGAATGAAAAGGGTATAATAAATTTTTTTTAAGGAATACTAAAATATTGTTTCTTATTAAATGATGTTAAAATATAAAATAACTTACCTTGAAGGTGGACAGGGTGAAATCATCCATTTTATGTAAATTTCAGGACATTTTTTATTGTAAAATTTTGATTTGTGACATTGACAATAGTTAATTGTTTTGAAAATGGTATTATTTCTATTTGTTCAGTTTTAGGGAAAAAATAGCTTTTGGTCAAAAATTAGTTTGAAATATTTTTTACTTCATTTTTAAAAATTATTATCATTCTTACTTTTTAAAAAATCTTTGAATTTGTTATTTATTTTGTGTGAACTTACCTTAATTTTTTGATATTTTTTTAATTGAAAAGGTTTTAAATAAAATCACTGTTATATATTTTTAATTAATTGTTTATTTATTATACTACTGTGGTAAAAAATAATAAAATCGAAATACATTATCATACATATTGATATCCTAATAAAACTAGCATGCATTCGATAACTAAATTTACACATTCATAAAACAGATCGCGTAATAAATATAAATATACAGCCGTAGATCCACAGAGAGCCTTACAGTGCGCCCATTCCACCGCGCGCGCGCCCCCTCGCGTCATTTCCAATGAAAAAAAAAATCGAAAAAAAAAACCGCGTGTATTTTGATTTTTTATGGTTGTGTGTCGTGCGAATCGAGTTTGTTGGCACGCAAACCAGGTGGAACGGAACGAAGCTGTTAAATTGTGAAACACAAGTGATCCCCGTCCAGCTACCCTATCAAAAGCAGAGCACAATTAAAGCACAGCCCCCGGCCAATTTAGCAGACTCGGGTGCTTGCAAAATGGTACATGTCTTCCCAAAAAAATGCGTTTTTGAACTACAAAAGTGATTTTATGAATAAGAATGATTTTTAGGACACGATAAAATTTAAAAAATGATGGAAAAAAAAATAATATTTGTAAGTGTTAAATTTTACCATCAATTTTTTAATTTGAATTTTTTTGTAAAAATTATCCTAAAAAGCAATTCTGTCCCAAAATCACTTTTGTGATTCAAAAATGCATTTTCGTGTGGAGATATCGACCATTTCGCAAATTCCCAAAATTAAAGTCCAATAAATTGGCCAGGGACTGTACACAAAACAAAAGTACAGATCGCTTGAATTTAGAATACAATAGTTTACAATTTATTAATTACATGATTCCAAACGGCTCTTTATATTTTTACACATGTATTATACAGTTTACAACGTGATAACCAAATGGAATTTACACTTTACATCTTGTTTTAGTATCTTTACATCAGTCTGAGGCCACAATTGCCATTCTTTCGAAGAGAAATTTGGCCGTTATTAAGAACCGGTCTCCCCAAAGCCCAAAACGGGACAATCCCACAAATTTTCGCCGACAATTCCCGATTGTTGACAAAAATTTGCAGCAGACTTTTCATAAATCGCCCAGTATTTTATAACATCTCCCACGTTTCATCGAACTGCTGCTTTTTTAACATTAGGTACTTCTCTCAAAATGGGGATTCCAGACGAAGTTCTCGCCGCGAAGTTCCACCTCATCGTAAGTCAGTATTTTTACACAGTAGACAATAGTGGAAACTCCGCGAGGAAAACTCCACCAAAAAAAACACGAAAGGTATCAACTTCAAACCAATCGTTTTTTCGTTAATAAAGATTTATTAATTTATTTCCCCTGATTGTAATAAAAATGTTCTCGCTGCAGAAGTGTTTCTTTCAATTTTTATTAATTAGTATACCCTGATTTTCCATAAATTACACAACAAAACCGAGCAATCCGAAGTTAATACCTTCAACGTTCCGGCAAAGTCAGCGAATTAAAAAATCTGTGCACAATAGGACAAAAATTATGAGACATTGAGATCGAAATCAGCGTCCGACAAAACTAGAAATTAGTCAATTATTTCACATGATAAAAGTACAATTACAAATAATTTCTAAGTACAAAAATGGGATTATTTTACACATTATTTTTATTACACACTATTAAACACTTTACTATATAAATACATGTGATACAATTTAAAAATGATTAACATATATACATATCACTAGGGGGGCAAAGGGGGGGAGGGATGGTCAACAAACACACCAACAAAGTCTCCAAGAAAAATGTATTGGGTGTTTGAAAACTAATGGGGTAGTTCAGTTTTTAACCTACAGTTTTTCGCAATCATTTGCCAGATCTTGAGATATTTCAAAAGTAAAGTCAAAAAAGTATATGTTAAAAAATTTCAACCACCCCATTCAGTTATCCTTAATAAGTGTACAAACAGGCACCTGTTGATTTTTAGTTGAAGTGGTCGCATGGGTTTTTTTGATGTGGCTTTTTTGTTTGGAAATGTCATGAAACGAAACTATATTACATATAATACAAAATTGGGCACACTATGTACACTTGCCAAAGATGACTGACCTTTTATGTTTTTTTTTCAATGTTTTTGCCATAAAATGCGCACCGAAACGGCGTCGGAAATTTTGTTGGAAAAAATTCTACTGCAAGATTTTACATGCAATGAATTGAGCTTTTTAGAATTTCTGAAAAATGTTTTTTTACTCTCTGTTAAAATTTAAACAAGATACAGGAAAATTGGTTTTTGAATTTATTAAATAACTTTGGAAAAAACAAACGTTTTTGCACCACATTTGATTTTGAAGTTTTTTCAGGCAGAGAAAATTAAAATAAAAAATAATATTAATGTAGGTTGTACAGGGCGCTGTCTGCGACATTTTGCGTACGTTTAAATGGTCACATCTTTTTGCGCCTTAGTCTATTCATGTTTTTAATAAAAATAAAAAATACCGTTTTCGAGATATTTTCATTTGAATTGTGATATGAAAATGTAACATTTTTTTAAAAGTAGGAAGCAATTAAAAAAATTCATTAAGAAACGCTAGAAATTTAGATACGGTACAACTTTGTTTTTGTTTTTTAAAATTTTAGGTTTTTAAATGTTTTTTTAGGTTGTTTTTTCACGTACAAATTAATCAAAATTTAAACGCAAATATCTCGAAAATGTTAATTTGGAGCGAAATATACAATCTACATTAATTTTTTTATGAAATTTAATTCTTCCCACCCTAAAATTTTGTGTTTTTTCCATAGTTATTTAATAAAATCGAAAACGAACTTGTGTAACTTGTATATTGAAAAAATTGGGTTTTACCACTTTTGTTTAACTTGTAGCAAAAAATAAAATATTTTTTCGACGGCGCATTTCGGTGGCTACGCGTCCGCCGCTGGACCGCTGTATTCGCGGCGCGCATCGCCAATAATTTATATTTATTTATCTATATATAAAATGTACAAATTATAAATATTTCATTCAATTATAAATACAATTTTACACAACAAAGTTTGGTTGGGCGATGCGGGGCGCCGCAGGGTTCCGCTTCGGGCCAGGGGCGGCGCGCGTGTTTTCGTTCTAATGCTATATTTCAAAATTATTTTTTTTTTCGACTTCTTAATGATACAGCGTATGTTTTGTGTGGTGTTGTTGTTGTATAAATGTGTTTTTGTTGTTTTGCGTTAAATATAATTTTTCTACACAGATTAGCTCAAAAACACGTAAAATTACATTAAAACAGTCATAAATGCAATTAAATATATTTTGTTAATTAATTAATTAATTAATAATGGAATTTACGAAAAAACTGTACAATTTACATTTGAATACTTTCCTCATTATAATCGGGAGATTATTTATTTAAAAAAGAAACGTGCCATCAAATTCTACTTTATATAGTTTCCCTAGGAAAAATTGTAGCTTAAATACGATTAGTAACAGCTGGTTATTAATTTGTCTAAATACCGACGAAAGAATTTAGATTTATAATTTCTTTAAATACAATATATTCGAAACAAACCGCTACACGATAAAATCTAATTTAAATTACTAATTTTACAAAGACCTATTACCTACTTTAAATGCAACGTCGCGTGTGTTTTGCTCATTTAATTAAACGTGTAAATGCGTTGAATATTTCGCTCGTTTGCACTAAAAACGACCTTTGAAGGTGCAGATTTCAACCACTCTAAAAATGATGTTAATAGAGTCGCTGCACATCTGGATTTCGGGGAAACCCGCAAGTACGCAGGAGCGGCGGATCGAAAAGTCAAAAAGTGTGTGTTGTGTGTGCATGACGTTGTGTGACGATTGATGGCGGGAATTTGAACCAATTTTTTTGTTTGATGACGTTCGAATCTATTCCTGAGGACCTTATCACGAGTTACAGACTGCCTAAAGTTTGGTTGGGTCGAGAGATATACCGTATGTCCACGGATGACAAAATGACCAAAATTTTCATTTTTCCACCAAAAGTCGTTCTTCATAAAAAGTTCTGCTTGTTTTGAAAAGTCTATTGTCATACTTTAAATTTTGAAAATATTATACAGGGGAGTCAAAAACAAGACAACATGAAATAATATCAAGAGCAAACTACCTTTATTTTTCGTTTTGGAGCATAGTGACAAATAAAAAAATGTATTTGAATCCTATCCAAAAAGAATTGCAAAATATCAACTCAGTACTTGATATTTATTTTGTTCGAAATTTTACAATTAATCTCAAAAACATTTACTGTAAATTTACGTTTATTACAAAAATGACACAATCAACAATAATCAAATAACGTCAAAATGACAATTTTCATTGTAACATAGTTCATTTTTGTAATTAATGTAAATTTATACAAAATGACGGTTTTTTTTACAGAAGTTGGGGACTGCCCGTCAAAATTAAGGCATAATAAGTAAAAAAAATTCTAACTCTAAAACGCCTTCATCAATCTTTATAAAATTTTGGATAAAAATAATTTAACTTATATCTCAGTTTATGTGTTCAAATGTTTTTCGAGAAAATATTCTTAAAGCCCTTTTATTTAATAATAAAAAAACGCTCGAAAAAATTTTTTATTAGGATTTTTTTTAAGTAAATAAAAAATATGCTGTGAAATAACGTATACCCTGAAAATGTGGTACAAATCAAACAATCAGTAACGAAAATAGCGTTTTAAAGTCGTCAAAAATGACCACTTTTCAGCAAAATAATCAAAAAGGGGTCATTTTACCGACTTTGAAGAACTGTATCTTCGTTACTGTTCATTTGATTTCTACAAAATTTTCAGGGTATACTTTAACAGCATATTTTTTATTTACTTAAAAAAAATTCCCTAAAAGTTATTTTTCAAACGCTTTTTTATTGTTAAAAAAGGGGCTTTAAAGATATTTTCTCGAAAAACCCTCAAACACGTAAACTGAGATATAAGTTAAAGTATTTTTATACAAAATATCACAAAGATTAGTAAAGGCGTTTTAGAGTTAAAATTAGAAATTTAATTTTGAAATTTTAGAATACTTTGAAATCTTTTTTTCATTTCTCACTTTGCTCCAAAACGAAAAATAAAAGTAGTTTACTCTTGATAGTATTTCATGCTTTTTTGTTTTTTGACCCACTGTATAATATTTTTAAATTAAAACAAACAGAACTTTTTACTGAAGAATGACTTTCGATCAAAAAACGAAAATTTTAGTCCATTTGTCCTGCTGGACACACCGCAGTATTATTTAAAGTTAAAATAAAATTTGAGATTCGTTTCGTTAAAATTTTGCCTATAATACAACCAGTAGCGTTAATTTAAAGAGACACAAAACATCGATGAACACGCACAATTGAAATTGTTTGCCTTTTGTTTTGTTTTTACAAATAAACTGAAAAGTCATCGTTGAACCGCCAAAAGAAAAGTGAACTTGCTTAATTAAAATGAAACTAAACTCTAAAACAAAAGCCAAGCAAACACAACGATATTATGATGTGAGACAAAATACATAAATTACAACTATAATACAGACATTATGTATACACGATAATCTTAACTATGCTAGGACCTTAATAAAAAATAAGAGAAAAAAAGCATAAAAAAATACGAAAATTAAATATTATAAACTCGTCGCCGCGCGGGCGGATTAAAGGGGGGGGGGAGAAATGAAAAGAAAAAATACTGGAACCGCGCGCCAAAAAAGCGGCGCGCATCGGTCGAAAACTTAAAAAAATGCGTTATAATAATGATAATGTTAATAATAAAAAAAGGGGGTCGGCTTGACGCCGGAAAGCAAAAAGAGTTCGTTACTCGCTTAGAGGACTCCGTTGGCGGGCGGGGGGCCGATGGGGCCCAGCTCGGCCGGGCCCATGGAGCCCATCGAGCCCGGGGCTTTCATGAAGTACTTCTCGAGCTTGGCGATGATGTGCTTGCCGTAGGTGTACTTGCGAAGGGAGTTCAGGTGCGGCCTGATCTTGTGCATCAGCACCTTGCGTTGCGTCGGCTCGCTCACGTCGATCATCTTTTGCACCACGTAGTTGGCGTACTGGTCCTTCATCATCACGTGCAAAGCGCTGAAAAAGGAGAAATACGAGGTTTGCTTATGGGTCTTTGAATTGAAACGCAACAAGCAAACAATGTCTTCTAATGTTTTTTTTATTGCAAGTAAATTTGCTTAGAGATTGGAGTTTTAAAATTTCCGGAAAAATTGGGCCGGCAGAAAAAAACCGTTTTATTTTCGAAAAATAGTAGTAATATCATAAGGGCATCCAATTTTTCAAAAAAAAAAAAACGAAAAAACACGTTGTTAAGTAATATTTTAACAACATGAGCGCTGGTAGCAACAAAAATCCGTTTCTAAGACGAGGATTTTTGCACCTGCACGAATGCATTTCGATTTTTTTCACAGGAAAAATTAGATGCCCGAATGGTATTTGACAAGACTATTTCATGAGTAACAGTTATTCTGAATACACATAGCTTACAAAACATACTACCTACATAATAAATATGTAGGTATTAATTTGAAAACTGAAAAATAGGTAATTCATTTAATCACAAAATCACTTAATTATTTATGGTACAATTAAAATATAAATTGCAATTTTGGTGACAACAGCTGTCCAGTTTTGCCGCCGGTATACTCGAAAAAACTGCTGACAGGTGCTGTCATACAGTTTTTCCACCTAGAAACCATTTTTAATTCAAAATTGCACATTTGTGATTGGTGGAAATTAAGTCAGAAAAGTTAACTTTTGCATTTTTTCTGACATTTGATAGGTTTGACATTATAATTTTGACATTCTATGGTGTTTTCAACATTTTAAAACTTGATTTTTACAATCTTAAATATGGATTTGACATTCTATTGTAAATTTTCATAAATGACATTTTGAAATTTGATTTTGAAAGTTTGAAAATGCGATTTTGCCACTTAAAAATTTGTTTTTTCATTACTTCTTTCACTATAAAAAGTAGGTTTGAAAATGTGATTTTTCAATTTTCAATTTATTATAAGTTCAATTTTAACATTCTAAAATTTGTTTTGACATTTTTATGTGTTTTGAAATTTAAAATTTAATTTTCACAATCTTAAATATGGTTTTGTCTTTTGGTGTTTTTTTTTCATTGTAAAGTAAATTTGCTTAAAAATTATAGTTAAAAATTTCCTGAAAAATTGGGTCGGCAGAAAAAAAACATTTTATTAAAACGTTTTTCTGACATTTGATTTTTAGGTGGAAAAATAGGTTTGACATTCTATGGTTTTTCAACATTTTCAAACTTGATTTTCACAATCTTAAATATGGGTTTCACATTCTAGGGTAAATTTTCATAAAGGACATTTTGACATTTGATTTGGAAAGTTTAAAAATGTGATTTTGACAATTAAAAATTTGTTTTTTCATGGCTTCTATCACTAAAAAAACATTTTCTAGTAGGTTTCAAAAAGTGATTTTTAATGACAAAGTCAATTTCTAAATGTATTGGATTCTGTTCGATTTTAACATTCTAAAATTTGTTTTGACATTTAGAATTTAATTTTCACAATCTTAAATATGGTTTTTATTTGATTTCGAAAGTTTGAAAATGTAAAATCAATTTATAAATGTATATTTTTGATTTTTGCAAATTTTGAATATAGTTTTAACATTCTTGAATAAATGTTCAAGAAAAACATTTCAAAAGTTGATTTTCAGATTTGAAAGTTTTAAAATGTGTTTTTTCATGGCTTCTGACACAAAAACTCTTTTTAGTAAGTTTAAAATAGTGAATTTTCAAGACAAAGTTAATTATGTATTTCAAGTATTTGTATTGTATAAAGTTCGATTTTCACATTCTAAAATTTGTTTTGACATTTAAAATTTGATTTTCACAATCTTAAATACTGTTCTGATTTGATTTCGAAAATTTAAAAATGTTAAATCAATTTATAAATGAATTTTTTTGATTTTTGAATATAGTTGCAATTTAGTTTTGACATTCTTGAATAAAATGTTCAAGAAAAACATTTTGAAAGTTGATTTTCAGATTTTGGAAGTTTTAAAATGTGTTTTTTCAAGACAAAGTTAATTATGTATTGTTATTCGTCACCTGAGTATTGATTTGTTCTATGTCCAATATGTTATAATCGAGATAAATGGGTTTGAAACTTTTACATTAAATATCTTATTTATTTTTTAATGAAAACTTAATTAAACATTAATAACAATATTCTTGTTTAGCCTTTAATTAGTTCTATTGAGCAACTCTTATCTAAAATTTGGATTTATGCCTCAATATTGGAAAAACGTTTTGGAGATAAAACAAAAAGTGCTATTTTTGGATTTTAGAAACAAAATGTTGGACATATATCAAAGTTTTAGGATATAAAACAAAACTGAATTAAAAAACACTTTATTTAATAATGATTTACTTTAATAATAATAATTATAATTATTGTCAAAATACAATGTCATATACATATAAATAGGTGAAAAAACGTGTACTGGCTAAAGTGGATATAGAACAAAACAATTTTATACTTATGAGGAAGCTTTCCTTGGAGATAGCACAAAACAGTTATAAAACATTTTTTCCATATGGATATAGCACAAACAAATACTAATTATTTTCAGATTTTTACAAACACATAGAGCAAAAGAAAGCCTGTAAGCGAAATTTTGGAGATAGAGTAAACCAATTTTAAACCTTTTATACTAAACTCAGATTTAGACTAACCTAAACTAAAAACTGACACAATTATATGAAAATACTATTATGGAGATGGAACAAACCAACTTCAACTTTCCGAAAATGCATAAACCTCAAAATGGTAAAAAATGGAGATAGCACAAACCAATACTCAGGTGACGTATTGCATAAAGTTCGATTTTCACATTCTAAAATTTTTTTTTGACATTTTTAAATATTTTGACATTCCATGGTGTTTTTATTTTAACATTTTAAAACTTGATTTTTACAATAGGTTTTGGCATTCTTGAATAAATGTTCATGAAAAACATTTTGAAATTTGGATTTAAGGTTTGAAAGTGTGATTTTGACACTTAAAAATGTTTTTTTCATGGCTTCTGCCCCAAAAAAACAGGTTTTAAAATGTGATTTTTTATGAGAAAGTCAACTCCCAAACATATGTATTGTATAAAGTTCGATTTTTACAATATATAATTTGTTTTTTACATTTCTGTGTTTTCAACATTTTAAGACTAGATTTTGATATTTTTATATATGGATTGACATTTTGAAATTTGATTATCAGATTCAAAAGTTTGAAAATTTGATTTTGACACTTTAAAATGTGGTTTTTTATTGAATTTCTAAACATTGTGACTTTCACATTCTTATGGTTTTAATATTCTGAAGTAAACTTTTATTAATGATATTTTAAAATTTATTTTTCAGGTTTCAAAGTAAGTTTAAAAATCTGATTTTGACATTTTAAAATGTGTTTCTTTCATAGCGATAAAGTAAATTTCTAAATATATTTATTGAGTAAAGTTTGATTTTTACATTCAAGAAAAATTTGTTTTTGCCATTTTCCAATATGTTTTGACATTCCCATGTTTTTAACATTTTAAAACCTGATTTTCACATTCTTATGGTTTTGGTATTCTGAAGTAAACTTTCATAAATGATATTTTACAAAATTTGCTTCTTAAATTTCCATATTTTGACTCTTTTGAAAATTACAAAAATTTATAAATTTAAAAAAAAATTAAAATTCCATATTTTGACTCGCTGATAATTCCAAAAGTTTCTTTTCAAATTTAAGAATATTTTGAAATTTACAGATTTATAAATCTAAAAAAACTATATTTTGACTCGCTGATAATTCCAAAAGTTTCTTTTCAAATTTAAGAATTTTTTGAAATTTGCGAAGATTTATAAATTTTGAAAAATTCCAAAAGTTGCACTTACTTGTCATTGAATCCGCACACCTCCTCGATGAGCAGCGCCCTCTCGGCCCTGGTGGCGTGCGTGACGCACTTCTCCACCACGTTGCTGGCGAACTTGTGCTGGCTCAGCACCAGCACCTTGCCCCTCACCGTGTTAATTAACTGCGACTTGTCCTCGGGCTTGCCATGTTCTACAACAGTATTACGAAAAATTTTTAAATAAGGCATACGCTCTCTGCGCGAACGAGTACACTTACCCAATACGTGCTGGATGACGTAGTTGCCGAACTGGTCCTGTATCAGCTGGTCGGTGTGCTGGTGCAGCTCGGCCAGGATCGGGGCCGTCTGCTCGGGCGTGCAGTGCTCCAGGATGCGCTGGATCACGCGGCACCCGTACGGGTGCGTCGACAGGGTGTACACCTGCCCCGAGAACGACTGGATGATGAACTGGAACAAATATTTACCCTGACAATTTCACATTTAAAAAGGGTTTTTACATTTCAAAATTTAATTTTCACCAATTTTACATGAGTTTTTTTCATTGCAGTAAAGTGAATTTCTAAATATATTTATTGAGTAACGTTTGATTGTTACATTTAAGTCAAATTTGTTTTTGACATTTTCTAATAAGTTTAAACATTTCCATGGTGTTTTCAACATATTAAAACCTGATTTCCACCACAATTGTGATTTCCACATTCTTATGTTTGTTTTTCAGGTTCTAAAGTAAGTTTGAAAATGTGATTTTGACATTTTAAAATGTGTTTTTTTTATTGCAGTAAAGTGAATTTCCAAATACATTTAATAAGTAAAGTTTGATTTTTACATTAACCCAAGTCAAATTTGTTTTTGACCAATTTGACATTATTAAGTATGGTTTTGACACTTTAAAATGTGTTTTTTAAATTCTTAACTTGGTTTTTGACATTTGTGTTTTTAACCAAAATTTTAAAGTTCTGTAGTAAATTTGACATTTTTAAATATCATTTTGGCATTAAAAAGTTCGATTTTCACATTCTCAAATATGGTTTAAAATGTGTTTTTTAAATTTTTAACTTTGTTTTTGTCATTTGCCTCATTTTTAGCATTTTAAAGTTAGTTTAAAATGTTTATATGATGTTGACATTTTAAATTGTTTTTTGATTTTAAGGTTCTTTAGTAAATTTGACATTCTTAAATATGACACTTTAAAATGTCTTTTTTTAATTTTTAACTTTTTTGTCATTTGTCTTCTTTTTAGCATTTTAAAGTTAGTTTAACATTTTTAAATGATTTTTCTAAAATGTCTTCTTTTGATTTTTAAGGTTCTATAATAAATTTGACATTCTTAAATATAGATTTAGTATTTTTTTTTAATTTTTAACTTTTTTGTCATTTGTCTTCTTTTTAGCATTTTAAAGTAAGTTTACCATTTTTATATGATTTTGACATTCTAAAATGTGTTTTTTTGATTTTAATGTTCTATAATATATTTGACATTCTTAAATATCATTTTAACATTTGATTTTTACATTCTTAAGTAAATTTGACATTCTTTAAAATGATTTTGACACTTTAAAATGTATTTTTTTATTTTTAACTTTGTTTTGTCATGTCTTTTTTCAGCATTTTAAAGTTAGCTTATCATTTTTATATGATACTTTCTATAGTAAATTTGACATTCTTAAGTAAATTTGACACTTTAAAATGTGTTTTTTTATTTTTTAACTTTTTTTTGTTATTTGTCTGTTTTTTATCATTTTAAAGTTAGTTCAGCATTTTTAAATGATTTTTGACATTCTTAAATTAAATATCACTTACATTTACACATGTTTTTTAAATTTATAAATTTGATTTTGACATTCTAAAGTTAATTCTTAACTTTGACATTTGTGTTTTTTTTCAACATTTTAGTTAATTTGACATTTCATAATGATTTTGACATTCATAAATATTATTTTGACATTTGTGTTTTTTTATATTTTAAAGTTAGTTTGACATTTTTAAATATTATTTTGCCATTTAAAAATGTTTTTTAACAATCCAAAGAAAATGGAACCAATCTTAAAATGGTTGACATTTTAAACTGTCTAAAAAATATTTTTGTTTTTGACATTTGTGTTTTTTGTCAGCATTTTAAAGTTAGTTTGACATTTAAAAAATGTTAATTACATCTAAAAATTTTATTTCCACATTCCAAAGAAAGTTTGATATTCTTAAATATTGTTTTGACATTTGTGTTTTTTTACATTTATTATACATTCTATATAGAACCTAAAAATCAAATTTTAAATTGTCAAAATCATATTTCAGAACTTTGAAATGTGAAAATCAAATTTTTTTAAATGTAAAAACATTTTTTTTAATGTCAAAATGATATTTAGGAATGCCAAATTTACTATATAGTAAATTTGACATTTTTAAATATCATTTTGACAGTAAAAAATGCTTTCACATTTAAAAATTTTGACAATTAAAAATTTTATTTTTAGGTGTTATAGTAAGTTTTACATTGTTAATTGTTTTTATTCAAATGGTTTAATATTTAAAATGACAAGTCTAAAATGTTTTTGTTTACTGTTTATTTGGGCCTCATGAATTTTTACATTTTAAAATTTAAAGATATAAAATCCTAAAACTTGTTAATAAAACTTAAAATGTTGGGAAGTGGACTGTTTTTTTATATTTTAAACTTATTGGGCAAGATTTTTATTTAAAAAATCTTTTTTTACCTATAGTCCACAAAAAGCAAAATTAAAAAAATTATAGTAGTCTTACCTGCAACGCATTCGGATCAACGCACTCTATGCACTTCTGCACCACGTGATTTCCGTTCTGATCCTTGACGCACTTGAGCACGTGCCCGTCCAGCTCCCTGACGATCTCCTGCTGCTGCTCGGCCGGAATCGACTCCAACGCCTTCTGGATCACCCTGCACCCGTACATCTGCAGCGCGAGCGGCAGCACGTGCCCGCGCACCTTCTGGGCCAGCGTGGTCTTCTGCTCGGGCGTGCCGAACTCGAAGAACTTCTGGATCACGTAGTTGCCGAACACGTCGGTCATCAGGTTGTAGGCGGCCGACAGGATCTCGTTGAACACCATCTGCTTCTCCGTGGTGGTCGCCCGCTCCAGCTTCTGTTGGATGAACCTGTGTACGAAAAAGAAATTAAATATTTGAGTGTTACACTGTAGTGCTTGACCAACATTTAAACTTCTATGCTCAAGCTGATTATGCAATGAGGGAATATTCAAAAACAGTTAATTTTATAGGTAGAGTCGCCAAAAATATGTCATTTTATACTAGAATGTTATTATACAATGCAATAGCAGCACCCCATTTACAATTTTGTCCAACACTGTTATGTAATTAATGTTATATATTAAAATGGGTTGTTCCTTAGGGTCCATAAAGAAGCACCTGAAACTTTTTTTTTCTAAATTCCAAAGTCTAAAAATAATTTATAATAACCTTTATCCTACCAAAAAGTACGCCACTGATCGACTAGGAACTTTAGGTTAATCTGGTGGATTTATTATGTTATGGTTGGTAACAACAGTTTTTCCAAAATCTCTCAAAAAAGTTGACAAACATTGTTTAAATTTAGCTTAATTACAAAAATGACAAAATTAACAATGCAAATTGTCAATTTGGCGTTTTTATTAATTGTTGGTTATTTCATTTTTGTACTGAAGGTAAATTCAAACAAAATCTGCCAACTTTTATGACAGAATCTAGTGCATTTCTTTTAAATTTTAGGTTATGTTTTCAAATTGTAAATATCTTAACTAAGGGAAGTGCTTTTGGATTTATTTACACAAATTAAATGTTTAAAGTTTAACCTGTGAACTGGTCCCAATTTCATCTGAGTAAACAGAGAAAAAACTGATGAAAAAATTAATTTTGTGGTTATGGATTTCAAATTTCAAAGGTACCCAATTTTCTAATCATTGCTTAAGCTAATAGCTGGATCAGTAAATAAATACAGAAGGGTATTAGACCTTTAAGGGCATAAAACTTTTGTATTTATTGAGTTTTTATTTATTTTTTGCAAGAAAAGTTTTTAGTAACAATTTTTTACATCTGGCAACGCATAGCTACTTTGTTGGTTGGTATCTATGTACTCACAAAATACAGGTGTGCAGAGATAAACAAGTGTGTAACCAGTGGCGTATCACAAAAAATATAAAAAACTTCTAATGCATATTTTTTCTTTATCTTTGGAAAAATGTTTTTAAAATATTTTTCCTTTATTCCTTATTTCAAAAGGTATTCAGTATTTTAATATATAACATTAATTACATAACACCCTGTATGTCCTACCCAATTATAAAAAAGATCAAATTCAACTTATACAAAATAGAGCCATGAGAATCCTTTTAAAATGTAATAAATATACACCTGTCAAATTATGTTAGATGTGCTAAATATGTTATCTGTAAAACAAAAAATTATGTTTGATGTTGCTGTGTTTATATTTAAGATTAAGAAAAAAATGGTACCTGACTTTTTTAATATGATTGTAAATTTAAATTATTGTAAAATATGTAGCATTTTGCTAAATAAATTTATACCTCGACCCGTGCTGGTCCTGCGAGAACTCCACGATGTGATTGGCCAGATCTCTCAGCTGCAAGTTGGGGTATCTGTTGTTCCTGAAGTCCTCCAACAATCTCGACCTCCCTTGCGGTCCCTTGTCCAACGTGCTCGGCACGGCGGTCAGCGATGAATTGATCTTGGTGAACAGGGAATTCGTCGAGCCGAACATCGCGTTCGCGGACAGACCGGCGGCCACGGAGTTCCTGTATTTCGCTTCGGCCCCGGGTGCGGCGGAAAGAACTCGCGACGTCACCAGGCCGCCGAGCTGCAAGGAACCGCTCGGCGGTGGCGTCAAACTCCCGGCCAACGGGCTCGGGCTGCTTCCGATGTTGTACGAAGTCGGCCATTTCTGTCTGTAGTCCAACGAAGGCGAGAACGCCGACGTGTTTCTGTCGAAGGAATCGCGTCTACCTGTTGCGGTGGTGCTCAAGCCCAAACCAGTCAAGTTATCTAACGTAAAATTAACAAATTAACATTTCATCTTTAAGTAAATACAGGGTGTCATCCTTTGGAGTAATAATAGTACACGCCAAAATCAGAAAGTTTTTCCTCTATCATTTTTTCATTAGAACTACTGTTTTTTAATAAAAAAATTATGAACATTTTTGCAGCGGCAGATGAAATCAAAAATCATCCGGATATGATGGCAAGAGCGACACACTTAAAAAAATAGCTACATGAGCATCAATCGACGTAAAAAGTGAACAATAAAATTCAAAGTTTTTAAATGCAAAATAATCCAAAGTAAATTTGACGTTCTTAAATATGATTTTGACAATTTAAAATGTGTTTTTGTCATTTTTTGTCAGCATTTTAAAGTTAGTTTAACATTTTTAAACGATTTTGACATTCTATAATGTGTTTGTTTAATTTTATAATTCTTTAGTACGTTTGATATTCTCAAATTATATATCACTTAAACTTTAAAATGTGTTTTTTTTAATTCTTAACTTTGTTTTGGACGTTTATGTTTTTATTAACATTTTAAAGTAAGTTTGACATTTTTAAATGATTTTAACATTCTCAAATATTATTTTGGCATTTATAGTTTTTTTTGCAATTTTGTTTTTGTTTCTGCAAGAGTCAATAAGATGTCTTATTATAAGAAACTGTTTCTTAGGAGTCTGCTTCTTGTAACACAATAATACCAGAAACGAAATGCATTAGAAAATGCTTGTAAACATTAAGTCTCCTATTGCATGTGCAAGAGCAAATTGGCCCAAGTATATAACATTGAGGTACACCCAATATTTGCCTGCAACTTGACTTATTTAGGTATGATTTCGACGTTCTAAAATGTGTTTTTTTAATTTTAAGATTCTATAGTAAATGTGATATTGTTAAATTATATATCATTTACATTTAAAAAACGATTTTGACATTCTAAAGTAAATTTCACATTTTTAAATATGATATGATATGATATGTGTTTTTTTATTCTTAACTTTGATTTGAACATTTGCGTTTTTTTAATATTTTAAAGTTAGTTTGACATTTTTAAATGATTTTAATATTCTAAAATGTATTATTTCGATTTTATGCTTCTACAGTAAATTTGACATTCTTAAAAATTATTTTGGCATTTAAATTCTTTTTTTTTGCAATTTTGTTTTTGTTTCGTCACAATAATACAAGGAACGAAATGCATTAGAAAATTTTTGTAAACATTAAGTCTCCTATTGCATGTGCAAGAGCAAATTGGCCCAAGTATATAACCTTGAGGTACGCCCAATATTTGTCTGCGACTTGAATTTTTTAGACATGATTTCGACATTCCAAAATGAGTTTTTTAGATTTTAAGGTCTAAAGTAAATTGTTTTATTCAAAGTAACTAAAAATAGCTGAGTATGCAAAAGAAAAAACAATTATCAACAAAGTTTTCAATGATAACACTATTGCCCACTGTGCAAGCATATTTTGCGTCAGTTGTCAAAGGTCAGGAACAACCAGTGGCTGCACAAAATTTCTACTTTACTTATAAAAAAATATATAGAGGAAAAACTTTCTTATTTTGGCGTATACTATAATCCCCTTAAAGGGTGACACCCTGTTTAATAGCAACTATTGAAAATCCTTTAAGCATATTTACATATTTATAATGAATAATGAAATGGTACAGATGAAGTGAAATTAAAATCTACAACTTTTTTGTTAATAAAAAAAGAGAGTTAAGATTGGTGCCCTGCGGCCCCCTACCTGTGTGTAGAGACGTGGTCGTGGCCGACGATCCGATATTTCCCAACGATGAACTGCCGAATGGGGCAGAAGGGGGCGCTGCGTGCAAGGTCTGGAACAGGCCCGAACCGACACCTTGGGCCACACCTAACCCGCGCCACACAAGTGAGTTAGTTAGTAGCTAGTAAAGTCAGTGAAAAACCACACCCCTAGTCAAGTCTGTATAAAGCTATGTATATATGTTTTAGGGTGTCCGTTATGTACCAAATTTGATGTTTTCACTTGGGTATCGTTTAAATTGTTAATTTATAACCTAAAACCAATTTTGAAAAAAAAACACCGATACTTTTCCCATTTAATTATATTTTTAACATGGAGTTTTTGAAGTTTTTAGAAATTGATTTTTTTCTTGTTTATTATATTCAATAACTATAACAATAACATATATTGTTGATTCTATTATGATCCCTTTGGATAAAGAAATTTTGACATTGGCGTCAAAAATTTGTTTAGTAAATTTTGATCAAAGATGAAAATTAATTTTTATAATTTTTACCAATAATTTTGTTTAATTTACCAACAACTCAAAATTTATTCTGTATTTAAAGTTAATTTTTTTTTATACGCTTTTAACAATTAATTAATGAAAATTTTGGAACACAAATCATTATTTATTTTATTTCAATTACAGTGTTGATAATCATCAAAAATGTAAAAAAATGTTTTTTTTAATTATCTGCATTTTGCTTCCAATTATCATTTTAAATAATCTAAATTAAATATTTATGAAGCATTGACTGACTTATATTAGCGAAATTATTTTCTATGGTTAAAAGCAAATGTAAAATATATCTTGATGAAATTTAAATTGTTTTATATCTAATTTAAAATGTCAATGTGTGAAAATTAACTCTTTAGAGATAAAATAAACGTTTTAATAGTATATTATGTATCAGGTTTGATAAACGCCATTTTATCCACCATATAGAAAAGTTTATAAACGTGCATACTATACTTTTTCTAAGACAAATACTTATTAATATCTTAAAATGATTTAAATGAAACAATAGGGGAAAATGTGTGTCACCGTCAAATGTCACATTTTTATATTTTATAAACACAGATTATAAAGGTTATAAATCGAAATGTATTTCTTGAAAATTGACAGTCTTTCACAGTAAAAGTAAAGAAAATGCTGTATGAGCACTTAACAGTGGAGTTCGTGCCCGAATTTAAGTTACTGCCGGCGAAATTAAAAGGTCAGTACAATGTTCATATAAACTTGCAAATATTGGCGTATGAAACTGTTTAATACTTTTGTATTTTTGTTTTGAGATAATAAAATAATTTTAACATTTAGTATTATTTTACAAGAAATGCACTTTATTTTAACGATTGTTTAACATTTGGCAAATAAATCAACGTTTCTGCATACGACCCTTAGTTATTTAAAAGATTTGACTAAAGTGAAAAATACTTTTCATCTTAAAAGTTCATGGTCGAGCGATAGATATTGTTAGGCTATAATAGGTAATTTAAATTGAACTATTAATAATATAATATAATATTTATAAAGTCAATATTAAAAGCGTATAAAATAAAATACAGAATACAGAATAAATATTGAATGGTCAGTAAATTAACAAAATTATAGGAAATGATGATTTTTGACCATATCAAAATGTATGGAATAAATTTTCGACGCCAATATGAAAATTTATTTATCATAATAGAAGCAGAATCAACAATATTTGGTAATTTATGGAATATAATAAACAAGACAAAAATTAATTTCCAAAAAGTGCAAAAACTACTAATTAGGCAGGGTTAAGCGGAATCGGAAATTTTTATTTTTTTTTTCAAAATTGCGTTTAGGCTATAAACTAACGATACCCACGTGAAAACAGCCAACTTGGTAAATAACGGACACCCCAATATGTATGTTATGTAATAAAGTGACTTGCTAGAGATGTTAAAATATTTACAATCGTAGTTTTGTGTGCAAGTTGGGGTGATATTAAATGCGAAGTCGCGACCAGTCGGCTCCAAGTTTAATACACAATTAAGATGTACATTAGCTCGGCTGGATTATATACACAATATAGTGGTGCTCTTAACGTTTGAGTTCGTAATTAAAAATTGTATCTCGTCTCGTGAGTTGACATAGTTGTTGTAGGTCAAAAGATGATTAAGTCGAACTGGTAGATTAGGAGGAAAGAAAAAGGGGCACAAAGCCACTATCGTTAGCATATTTAACGTGAACATGAATCCCGCTACAACTCGCACAAAACTTAAATTGCATCTTTATCATGTAAATTGGCTTCTTGTCACCTACAACAAGAATGCAAACTTACAAGAGAAAGAATATTTATTCTATTTAAAACGGCAGCATTAGATAAGGAAATGTTGATGTTGATTTTCCGTCTTTGCATTGATTATGTTGATATGTACAAATTAGTTTAGTTAATGAATGGTGAATTTACACGGCAACCAACACCTAATTGGACGTATTCACAAGAGGCAGTCGAGAGATTTTTTCTAAAGGCGGCATTTTACCGTTATAAATTGGAGAATATTCTCAGATAATTATAATTAATATAAATTACATTTTACCAATTGCTCACTAAACTAATTGGAGCAGTTAAAAAACGTTTAATAAATTAGCTTTTTTCGGCCAATCAGATTTTTTAGAAGTATAAGAAACGATTTTCAAACTGTTTCTTACTTACTTCTATTGCATGTCCAAGAGCTATTTGGCCCAAATATATACCCTTAAGGTACATCCAATATTTGTATGCGAATTGACTTTTTTAGTTAGACATGATTTTAACTTTTTAAAATGTTTTTTTTTTATTTTAAGGTCTATATTAAATTTGACATTCTTAAATATCATTTTGACATTTAAACATTTGATTTTCACATTCTTAAGTAAATTTGACATTCCTAAACATGGTTTTGACACTTTAAGTAAATGTGAAATTCTTAAATATGGGTTTGACACTTTAAAATGTGTTTTTAAGTTCCTAAATTTGTTTTAGATTCTTGTGTTTTTTTATTTTAAACTTTGTTTTTGTAATTTGTCTTTTTTTCATCATTTAAAGTTTAACATTTTTAAATGATTTTGACATTCTAAAATGTTTTTTACATTTAAAAATTTGATTTTGACATTCTAAAGTAAATTTCACATTTTTAAATATGATTTTAAAACTTTAGAATGTTTTTTTAAATTCTTAACTTTGTTTTTGACATTTGTGTTTTTTTTAACATTCCAATTTGACATTCTTAAATATGATTTTGACTTTAAAATGTGTTTTTTTATTTTAAACTTTGTTTTTGTCATTTGTCTTTTTTCAGCATTTTAAAGTTAGTTTTTTAATGATTTTGACATTTTAAAATGTTTTTTTTTATTTTAAGACTATAGTAAATTTGACATTCCTAAATTATGTACGTTTATATGTTTTTGACACTTGTGTTTTTTAAACATTCCAAAGTAAATTTAACATTCTTAAATATGGTTTTGACACTTTAAAATGTGTTCTTTTTAAATTTTAATCTTTGTTTTTGTCATTGGTCTTTTTTTCAGACATTCTTAAATTATATTGTATATTATTTACATTTAAAAATTTAATTTTGACATTCTTAAGTAAATTTCACATTTTTTAATATGATTTTAAAACCTTTTAATGTGTTTTTTAAATTCTTTACTTTGTTTTTGACATTTGTGTTTTTTTAAACATTCTAAAGTAAAATTGATATTCTTAAAAATGATTTTGACCCTTAAAAATGTGTTTTGTTTCAATGTTAAGCTTTGTTTTTGTCAAGCATTTTTTTCAGACATTCTTAAATTATATATTATTTACATTTAAAAAATGTTTTTTACATTTAAAAATTTAATTTTGACATTCCTAAGTAAATTTCACCTTTTTAAATGTGTTTTTTAAATTCTTTACTTTGTTTTTGACATTTGCAATTTTTTTCAATATTCTAAAGTAAATTTGACATTCTTAAATATGATTTTGAAACTTTGTTTTTTGTTTAAATTGAAATGTGTTATTTCTATTTTATGGTTCTATATTAAATTTGACATTCCCAAATATTATTTTGGCATTTTAAAAGCTTTTTTTGCAAGTCAATCAGATGTCCTAAAAGTATAAGAAACGATTTTCAAACTATTTTTTAAAAGTCTGCTTGTTGGAACACAATAATATCAGAAACGAAATGCATCAGAAAATGTTAAGTCTTCTATTGCATGTCCAAGAGCGAATGGGCCCAAGTATATAACCTTGAGGTACACCCGATATTTGTCTGCGTCTTGACTTTCTTAGACATGATTTCGACATTCTAAAATATCATTTTGACATTTAAACATTGAAAATTACATTCTTAAGTAAATTTGACAGTTTTTTAACATTTTAAAGTTAGTTAGTAAGTAAAGTTAGTAATTTTTAAATAATTTTGACAGTCTAAAATGTGTTATTTAGATTTATGGTTCTATAGTAAATTTGACATCTTGGCATTTAAAAAGTTTTTTGCAATTGGCTTTGTTTCGGCAAAGTCAATTGTTTATCAGATAAGTCAGTTAAGTCTCCTATTGCAAGACCAAGAGCGAATGGGCCCAAGTACATAACCTTGAGGTACACCCAATATTTGTCTGCGTCTTGACTTTTTTAGTTTAAAAACAGTACAATGTCCCTCTTGGAAAAATCTCGACCACCGCTCGCAGAAAAACGGTTTTCGAAGGGCCCGCTCTCTTACCTCCTAGGGTGCCTCCGTTGACCGAAGTGTTGACGTTCGCTCCGTAGATGCTTTGCGGCGTGCTCGAGTAGAGCGATGCGGCCGCGGCCGCCGCAGCTGCCTGCGTCTGTCGATTGGCCTGCGGCTGCTGCTGCACGAGCACGGGCGCCGGCGACACGAGGCGCATCGGCGTGCCGTTGCGCATCGCGGCGCCCTGCGCCATAAGGATCGGCGTGCTCTGATCGTAGTAGGGGACGATGTAGCCGCCAGGCACCTGGGCCTAGTAACACCGAATCATGTATTTACAATATAATACAACAACCAGAGCTGGGAGTATGTTGAAAAAAAATATACTTGGAAGTAACTTAGATACTTAAAGTAACTAAGATACTTTTTATATTGGACAGAAAGTATCTTTAACTAAGTTACTTTGGAAAAGTATCTTGTAACTTGTATCTAAAAAAGTATCCAAGTTACTTGGTAAAGTAACTTAGATACTTTACAGTAACTAAGATACGTTTTAAAGTAACTTAGATACTTTTCAGTGTAACTTAGAAAAAATTGGGGGAATTCCAGAATGATTCAAAGTAATTACCTAACCTACAACTTGTTTAATTTTCATAATTTTATAGTTTTTATTCATATATTATATCACGAGAACTATGAATTTAATCGGTTAAACTAGGCACAGTAGTTTTTTGTTTGGTTTTTGTTGGAAAATGTTGAATGCAAAATAATTTAATAAAATCACGAGAGGGGTTTTATTTTTAATTATTTTGCATGAAACTATTTTCCAAAAAGAAAAATCAAATAAAAAACTTACTGAGCATAGTTTGACAGATTAAATTTAAAGGTTGAGTGATATACGTCTAGATTATTTCTCGAATTAAAGGAAACTATTTGACCATTCATAAAATCTGACGTATGTGTCAAAGTTTATAAATATTTTTTTAAAGAAAATTCCATTAATTTAAGGTATGTAATAAGTAATAATTGATATTTCGTAAGCTAGATAACTTATTTTTTATTGTTTTTTAAAAAAGGTTTGTTAAATCTTGTAAATAACACCATAAAATCGTAAACAAAAATCCAATATGGAGGCTAAAATTTAAATCGCTGTTAAAAAGGTATACTGATTTAATCGCTTATTTAAACGAAATTTATTCGAAAATTCAAGACTTTTGATTGGTTCATATTATATTGAGGGAAATAATCATACTTAAAAGTAACTTAGTTACTCAAAAGTATCTTAGTTACCTAAAAGTATCTTAGATACTTTCATATAGTATCTTAGATACTTTCTTATAGTATTTTAGATACTTTCGGATAGTATTTTAGATATTTTTTTAAAGTATCTTGTAACTAAAGAGACTTTTAACTCAAAGTATCTAGTTAACAGAGGTAACTAAGTTATTTTTTTTAAGTATCTTAGAAAAGTAACTAGATACTTTTCAGAAGTAACTTTCCCAGCTCTGACAACAACATACATATGTACAATCATGAATTGTACATTCATTTAAAATTTTATCCATGATCTAAAATGCATTCTTCAGTTTCAGTAAATTTAGACCATGAACATTGTTAATGTTACAACATTGTATATACATTTTTTTAGAGTATAAATGTTACGGACAATGACGTTACTGGTCAGTCAATGACGATCATGGTACAATGTACCATGAGGACGATAATGAACAGTTGCCCATTATCCATAATGACCGGACAATAACGTAAATGTCAATGATGATTATGTGTCAAATTTACAAGTACTAAAATTAAAATTATAGACAATTTTTTATTTGGTAACTGACGTATCGAGCCATATTGGAAATGTCTTGGAAGTGGCCAATAACAAGAAGTCTTCATCTTCTGAAGATGATAAGGAAGAGGAATAGGAAGAAGATAAAAACATCGAATACAAATGGAACCAGTTTTTTTCCAAGTAAATTTGACATTCTTAAATATGGTTTTTAAACTTTAAAATGTGTTTAATTTAAACTTTGTTTTTGTCATTTGTCTTTTTTTCAGCATTTTAAAGTTAGCATAACTTTTTAAATAATTTTTACATTCTAAAATGTGTTTTTTAATTTTAAGATTCTATGGAAAATTATATATCATGAACTGTACATTCATTTACAATTTTTTCCATGATCTAAGATGCATTATTCAGTTTTAGTACATTTAGACGATGAACATTGTTAATGTTACAACATTGTATATACATTTTTTAAGAGTATAAATGTTACGGACAAAGACTATAATGACGTTACTGGCCAGTACAATGTACCATGATGACGATAATGACCAGTTGGACATTATCTATAATGACCGGACAATAACGTAAATGTCCATGATGATTATGTGTCAAATTTACAAGTACTAAAATTAAAAATATAGACAATTTTTTATTTGGTAATTGACGTATCGAGCCATGTTGGAAATGTTTTGGAAGTGGCCAATAACAAGAAGTCTTCATCTTCTGAAGATGATAAGGAAGAGGAATAGGAAGAAGATAAAAACATAGAATGCAGATGGAACCCGATGATGATAAATATAATAAAGAAGATGCACAAAAACCAAATAATAAAATCCTTTTTACATAAAATAAACAAAATTCCCATCTTACCTGCACTTGTTGCTGGGCTTCGGCAGTTCCATTCGGAGTCAACGGTCTTCTAGCGCCGTTGCTGGCTCCCTGCTGGATCAAGTTGGCCGGAGGGGCGGGATAGACCCAGGGGCCGACGCCGTAGTACTGCGGGACGCCGGCTGTGATCAGGTAGGGCTCCTGCTGGGGATTCAGGACGTAGGGTGGCTGCGGAAAGGCGGCCGCCTGCTGCTGCTGCGCCAAGTACTGCTGCTGCTGTTGCTGCAGGAGCTGAAGCTGGGCGGCGCTCGGGGTGGCCGCCTGCGATTGCTGAGATCTGAACAATTGCTGCAAAGAAGGAATTTTGTCCCGTATAATTTGCCTGACAAGGGAATGATGTATGCTCGAGTCGAAAAAAACTGTCAGCCGTTTTCGGGGGAAAATTTATCGTTTTCGGTATTAATCCTGGAATTTCACGGACCGTACATAACTCAAGTGACATCGATCGTGCGAAAAGGTTTCTCCCTTTACTACGTTTTATTTATTAATGCGACGAAGGTATGGGAAGGTATAAGTGCACGTGGGGTAAGGAGGAATCTTAACGCCTAACGCAATTACCTGCCGGCCGTGAAGGCACTCCACTCCAAGAGTGAGATTCGTTAGACCACGTCGAGTGCGCTTATTAGTTACCGGGCACGGGCATTTCGAAATTTTCACGAGAAAGTGGCAAATCTTGTTAGCTTAAAACAACACACTACGAACTTTCGCAACAAACCCCAAACGCACTTAAAACTGTTCATTTGAATTACTGCACTCTTAAACCTATACTATGTGAGCGTACCTCAAGGCTGTTTTGCTGAAGACTGCAAAGTATACTCAATACAGAAAAACCAAATAAGCAAGTTTTGGTACAGTTCCTAGTCTTAAAAATAAACATTAAAAAGAGCATGTAGAAAACCTAGATTTTAGACAGTTAGGGTTTGCTGTTTGAGGAGAATAGTAAAATTCTTTAATTGTTGTAAAAGAAGTAAATTTAACTCTTGAATAACCAAGTTCAATGTTTAAATATAAATTAATTGGTGTAATAACTAGGTATGTTTGTTTTATTGTTATAGTATACTATTATAATCTTAAGTCACAAAGATCATAATGAATGGTTAATTATGTTATATTTACTTTATACTGTATTTTATTATTATTTCATCTTGTTCTTTGTGAAAGAAGGAATGAGCTGGACTTTGTATTTTATGGTTGTGGTTGGACAAACCAAACATATTTATTATAATCATTATTTTATTTATTATGTTTATAATTATTATATTTACACAATTTATTTTGTACAGTTTATCTTTTTTTTGATGAATTGATATTCATTATTTAATATGTTCAGACTTTGTTTCAATTTCTGCACAACAAATACAAATTTTCTTTCAATATTTCTTTCTATTCTATTATATTGTTGTCTGTGAACTAAGTTATATTATACTTTGTGTTTTAAACTGTTGTTTTTTTCTACACCGTCCGAGACTATTATTTATGTAGGTTAATATCATAATATATTTAATTATATTTATATTAATTACTGATTTTTTTATATTATTTATATTGTTTAGATGTGCGACACACATGCATGTCTGGATTCTTAAGGTTTAAGTATCAATGATACTTTTCAAATATAAATGTTTTTTTTATATTATTAATAATTATTAATGGACAGTAGCAATAATACTCTTGTATTAATTGCCTTTATTAATTAACTTTTTCTTAATTTAGTATTTTTTCTTTGCTTTTTAAATATCTTTTCAATTGCTTAGGTACTTACGTATCCAGAACCGTGTTCACAACAAAAAAGGGTCCTAGTTTAATTTATTTAAGTTTTGTGTGGTTTTCGTTTCTAATTATTAACGTGTGCCCCCTTGCCTGTTCGTTACAAGATTCTTTAAAAAATAGTATATGGTAGACATACAATCCCTTCGTGACAATTAATTCACAAAACGTATTCGTTTTACGCCTATTAAAATTTAATCCTCAAACAAATGTATCGAGCCAAAGCTCCATCGAACATCTGTTTTATTGCGAATTCACATCTGAGTGATTAATTTCATGCTATCGCTTCGTTAATAACAGCGTTTCAACGTTTTCATTTTGCTCCCTTGAATATATCACCTCTAAATATTTATCTCCTGTTTTCGACGCACTTTAATTTAGTGGAGTCAAAAGAGAGGAAAGACTGAAAAACAAAATCGCAAGAAAGTCGATTTCGAAGCAAAGGCAGACACTTGCGTCACAAGTAAAGTTTGGGACCCTCTTTTTACGGTATCACGAAACGAGTGGTAGGCGCCGTCAAAAGCAAGCGGCGTCCTTTCAATATTGCGCGCAGCACGCGACAAAAACCGAAAATGTTTTAGAGACTCAGATAAATTACCGCTGCTATCAAGTAATGATCTGCTGGAGACTCTTATTAACAAAAATTCATTAAACATTTTTTCAAAATTCCTTGTCCCTTGTAGGAGGTGGATGACAGTGTCGATGGTTAAGGCCATTCCCGGAATTTTGTCGCCGGGCCGACCATACGCCCGATTTAGCCTAGTAGAGTGTAGGACAAGGAGGGACAACAGTTGGTTTTTGGGGGCCTTGAACTGACCCAAAACTAAGTATATAATATTAAAATTTGGAATACGGCCCTAATGGCAGGCGTGTAACGATGTTGCTTTAATAGATGGTTTGTTTACATTAGACTTACGTGCTCGTTTTGTTTATTAAGAGACTGTTTACACCCACATATTTTTCTTTTCAATATTGCATAATTCAGTATAAGATCAAATAAAAAGATAACATTTCGTTAATAACCAAGCACATAGGGTACATAAATAAAACACGTTATCTTCCTTGCATCCAAAAGAAAATAAATGGCGAAACTTCATTAGCAAACGCGTAAAAAACCGAATTAAAATCGTGGCTATTTATGTACAGTTGCAGATAAATGAGATTCATAAATTTCCGAATTGCTTTCGGCGCGCCAATTTCATTAATTCGTTACGCTATCTTTTTTCAAATGAAAACGTACGTATACTTCTATTAAAAATGCTCTCATTTTATCTTGGGGTTTCGGTGTCAGCATTTCTATTGCTATTAATCTTCTTTAAGCAAAAAATATTTATTATTATTTTGATAAGCGTAAGACCAAAAATTCAAAATCGAAATCGTTATGGCATAAAAGGAATATAATGAAGTCATTTATTGTTACATATTTGAGAGAGGGAATTACGTCCATTGCAGGGCACTCTACAATTCCACTTTGACGGAAAAATATGTAAAATTTTCCGACACTTTTCCCCAATCGGATTTACACTTCAATTTCGTACTTTTTCTTTCTATCCTTTCACTCAAAGCAGAGACTTGACAAGATTAATATTTACTACAAACGACTGACTGACTGACACGTTTTTTATTCGATTATTATTTTCTGCTTATATTGGATACGGTATGTGAGAAGTTCGAATTCAGTTATTTACAGTCAATAAAGCCGCGACGATGATGGATTACACTTTGAGACAAAGTTTTGTTCTAATAGCTTAATGGTATTATGTCTAAATTAACTCGTGAACTATAATCTCCACATATCAATGCCTGCATGTATCTCGCCTCTTGATGGGATTTTTTCAGGCGGATTTTCTGTCGAGATGGGTATCGCCTGACGGAACCCCTGTCAAGCTCGAAACGAGAAACGTGACCGGCTCCAGCAACAAACCAAAGCGGAAGCAACCAGAAAAATATCAAGATTTGATTTAACCGAACTCATTCGATTTATAATTGTGCAGCAGAGAGATACAATGTTTAAACCGCGATTAAACCGCCATGTAGGAGGAAAAGTCCATATGAATACAATTACAAAAGTGAGATATAGTATGCATCTCACTACTGTAGTACTTCACGATCATTATAAAAGGGACTCGCGATTAAACTGCTGTGTACTAGGAGAAGTCCATATAAGTACAATTACAAAAGTGAGATGTAGTATGCATCTCACTACTGTAGTACTCCATGAATCATTATAAAAGGGACACGCGATTGAACTGCTGTGTACGAGGAGAAGTCCATATAAGTACAATTACAAAAGTGAGATGTAGTATGCATCTGACTACTGTAGTACTTAATGATCATTATTAAGGGCATGAAGTGAGATGTGACATACATATCACCACCATTGGTGTTCATATTTCATCTTTTAGGGCTTCTCTTGTACGTACCAAACACGTGTGCTTTGTCATGTATGGTAGGCAGAACGCCATAAATCACGCCATCATCTTCTTATGGTCGTGTAGCGGAACGAATATCTCGATTTATGATTTTCGTGGTGGTTGCGTGAAAAATTAAATTACCTCTTCACGTACACCACAATTAACGCGGCGATTTATTGAGCCGTCCGTATTGGAAATTCCTGTATAGAAGGTTATTTATCGACCATCTTAGTTTTTTTCTATTTATTCCAAGAATTTATTGCTAGTCGAGAAATTTACTCGTAAACGTGACCATCACGAATTTGAGTCGATAAAGTTAACACAAACTTTGGATATAAAGGTGCTAAAACTAAATTTTAGTGCTACGATAATTTTAACCAATTACGATGAAATTTGAACCGGAACGAATGATATCATCGGTGAAAGAAAATATTTTGAAGGCGAGCTCCATATATATCTTTCACCACATCTCCATTTAATCTGTTAAATATTTAGATTATAATCGTAACCTTGCAAAGTAATTTTATGAAAAATACATTGCAAGTAATACAGTCGTATTTGAAATAATTAATTGAGCGAGCAGCTTACGGTAAAAATGAACCGTTAAGATGTGCCCGTAACAGTATAAATGACCACTCGAACGAATTATGTCTTATGTATAATCCATTAAGCACAAGCTTACAAGTCAAAAACCTCTGCAAATTGCAAATAGTACACCTGACCTGAAGAAGGCATTCGATAACATCACCTCGGATGATTTGTTTTCATAGACACACGTTTATTTATTTCTCGAGGCGAATGAGGAAGTTTCACGACGAATAAATGGATCACGAACGAGTAACGGGTCGTTTTGTAAAGGTAACGCGCGGGTCATGCACCTTTTATTCTTCTTTCTTCCTCGCCTCCACCATTACCACTTCGTTCGTCGAACCTGTTTCATTAACATCGAAATTGGAAACTGTTCGATAAGGGAGCAATCTCATCATGTGAATTAATTTAGATTTAGTCGCGGTTAAACCTGCTTGCATAAGGTGTTAATACTGCGATTGATCATGTATTTCACCCCTTTCAACTTCATGATTCTACGCTAAAGAAGCATCGGATATT